CCCGGAAGAGGCACCCGAGTGTATTTTGTGACAACTCTCGAATTAGAGGTTTTGTATGTAAGCTAAGGTTATAAGGAAGCCACAGAGCCTCTCCATTCTTGTACAGTAGAAAACTCACCACTGTAGCACGTCTCATACCCTTAGGGAAGCGGAAGTAGACGTTAAAAATAACAACAACAACAACAACAATAATAAATGCCGTACAGTTCATACAGGGTTACGTATGGAGGGTTATGTGTTAAAAAAAAAACACCCAGGATCCCCAGCGGTGCCCAACAAAGTTGTTGAAAGTTCCCCGCTCTCCACTCTTTCCCGCCCGCCCGTTGGCCCACTCGTCGACTGAGAGTTTCCATCTTGGCATTTTGTTGACGAGTGTCGAACTGACGATTGAAGTTGAAACGCGATGTTTAGGCAGATAACGTCCGTGCTTTTTCTCTTCAGCTCAGGTCGGGTTAGCTCAGTTTACAGGTGATCCATCCAACACACGTCACTACCGACAGGGCTCCCGCCCACACCAGCTCTGCCCGCTCACCACCCACCTAACAGCACCCACAGCTTCACCTTCCACTGCCGCAAAGCTCAGGTATCTTGTCCAAAACAACAACACCATTGAGCTTAAGCTTCATTTACCATTAATTACCCAACACAAGCGCAATATAATTATCAGCACACGCGTAATCGCATCGTCATTGCGACCATTTTGATACCAAACACCATTGACCCAAGTATCACGCTGCGACCCGAGATATCACCACAGACAGCAAACATGTCGGGCACCACCAACAGCTGGCTCGCAAGGCAGCGCAAGTCGGATTTGGTTGAGTTGGCGAGAGAGATTGGTGTCACTGGGTATGTACACTTATTTGGTTTGTCATTCGGAGCATAGTTCGTGTCCGGACGATGGGTCATGACAATGGTCTTGTTGTGTTGTTTACTTTTTGATGTTGGCTTTGCGCCTCTCGCGCGCGCGCCCAGTCCCCGCATGGCTGAGCTCTCCTTCCCATGCTATCCCCCTCGCGCGCATATTCACACTCCGGACCAAGCTTAAGGAAGCTTCATGTTCTAGTCTCAAACGAGCAGACATGTCTTGTGATGGCGTCAACACCAAAAAGGCATTCGATGACGCCCTGCTTTGCCGGAGCAGCTGTACCTCGCCAGGAACAGACTAGGGCCGGAAACCTCCCCGCGCCTGCGTGCCGCATTCCGCCTCGCGTACCTGGCTCCCTTTGTTGACATTTCATCCCGTTTGGGATCCCCAATCACCGACTGCGCCAACCCTTTGGACGTCCATACAATGCATTTTCGTCGGAGCTATGTACTAACAAAGCATCCAGCCTTGATGGTCTGAAGAAGAACGATATCGAACAACAACTCGACAACTTCCTCTCCCAGAACGCGAACCGCTTCTCCTCCGACTCGCGCTTCACCTCCTACTTCAACAGCCGCGCTCGCCAGTCGCCCATCAAGCGCGAAAGTGATGTGACCCCCAACCGAGTTCCCAGGCGGAGGACCACCAACAAGGTCGAGGTCGAGATTCCAGCTGCTACCATTGAAGAGTAGGTCTCTAGTCTCTATCCAGAGAAGATAAAACCCCAAATTAACAACCAATCCTCCTAGGTCTGACTCCATCCCATCCACCACCTCCCCATCCCCAGAACCCGAGACCAAGCAAGCTCCTGCGCCCTCGGAAGTGCTTCAAGCCGCCGCCCAAGTAACCCAAGAGGCTCTCGTCTCCACCGCCCAATCCGCCGTCCAGAACGTCCAGAACCCCGGGCACGCGCTCTCCCAACTCAACAACACCTTCTCCTCCTCCACCTTGCGCCTGCCCGCCTCCCAAGCTGAGCTCGTGCAAGTTGTCGAGTCCGGCACCCTCGCCGTGCGCGACCGCGTCTCGGACCTCTACCAAAAGTCCGGCATCCACGACAAGGCCGAGACCGTGCGCGAGAGCCTCTCCACCGTCAACAGCGTCGCCGTCGCCGTCGCCGCCTTCGAGCTCTACTTCCTCCGCAAGGAAGTCATCCCCGACCGCTACGCCTTCACCATTCCCGCCGTCAAGCTTCTGGGCGGCATGCTCGGCTGGGATGAGTATCCCGTCTACGTCCCGGACATGTTCGCTCTGGTGACTGCCGGGTTCTGGATCCCCGCTTTGGTGTGGACCACCACCAGCTTGATCCTCCCTTCGCTGTTTGGGTATTTCTTCAACTTGAGCGTGGCGCACTCGAATTCGTTTTCTACGAACTCCGGCCCGACGACTAGGAGACAGAGCAGGGAGTTGAGCAAGCGGGAACCGGAGTATGCGGTTGATCCCGTTACCTTCTCGATTGTTAAGGCGTTGATCACCTATGTGGTGTATGCCCAGGGCGTGACGCTCGGCGGGTGGTTGGATGCTGATGCCGTGGCGAGGATCAACGGGGCGCTGTATAGTGGGTGGAAGGGCGTGTTGGTTGGTGCCGCGGTGACGGGTGTTGCTGGGGTTTATGATGCTGTGTTGAGGAAGTAAGGGGTGAAGGGATGGATGGATGTGGAAGTTGCAGTGATTGCTCAAGAGAGGAAGATGAACAAGAGGGAGTATCTGCACGCTGCGGTGCGGGTTGGGTATGGGGAAGACGCCAACGGACAGACGCTGTAGGATGGACGAAACTGGAAATGACTGAACGGTACATAACACAACAACACAACACAAACACAACACAAACACAACAGGAAAAGAAACGAAATGGTTGGATGGATGGGTGGTCTAAGGATTTTCTGTAGGATTTGTTTAGGATTTGTCTGGATAGGTAGCGGCGTGTATGGTTTTGGCTTTCTTTAGCTTTGTTGGTCATTCATTCCTTTTTGATACTTCACGTAGCTAGTTTGCCTTATTTCTTATTGGGATCTTTGGTTCGGAAGATATGATTTTGCTTCTACTTTCGTTCAGCTACGAGTCATCTTCGCCTTTTTGCTGCTTGTGTTTTCGGCTATGGGATTTGTTCACCGGTTATACCTCTGGGCGAGGAACCTAGCTAGACAACCGGTCCAGAGACTGCTTTCCGTTCGGAGCTTTCATTGTTGTGTTGATATCCCAATGACATACATACTCAAGGTAGTTGACACACTCTTTTTTGCTTCGCCTGCTTGGGGATGGATACCTTGGTCGCTTAATATCGCCATTTTTGCCTACTCACTGAGTACGTATGTCGAGTTGTGGATTGACGACTCATGGATTGAGCTTCGAGGCTCGTTGATCCTTCGTGTCTGACTGATTGAGTGGTAAGAAAGAAACCCAAGAAACTGTTTAGTGATAACAAACTACTCCAAAAAATTACAAAAATTCCGACCTTACAGCTTCGAAAACCCCGGCACACTCCCACCCGCAACAACCCCCTTCGGTCCTCCCTCCCCATAAACAATCGCCAAATCCAAGTCCAATCCATCCCCCTCAATCTTCACTTCTTCCTCCCCATTACCATCAGGCCCAAACCCATGCTTCACCATCCACCGCCCCTTCATCCCCTCCACCTCCCTCCCAGGCCTAACCCTCGCATCAACCACCCACAAAACCGCAATCAGCACCTCCGCCAGCTTATGTATCAACCCCCCTAGCCTCAGGCAATAACTCCTCCTGCCTTCCCCTTTCCAGTTTCCTCTTCAGTCCTTCCCAAACTTTCCTCACCCTCTCCACCTCTCCCCTTTTACCACCACCTGCCAGTCCCAATCCAGTCCCAACAAACCACTCCAAAGCCTCCACCCCCTCTTTTCCTATCATAGGATGTTTCAGCGCCCTAACAGTATCACTAGCCAACACATCCGTCGTCCCTTCCCAGATTGCGCCCACGCAGGCGTCCCGGAAAATGCGAGACAGGTTCAGGTGTTCGGACTCGGAGTTTACTAGGTAGCCGACGCCGCCGAGGGATTCCATGCAGCCGAAGGAGAGGGGCACGCTGGTGTGGCAGATGAAAGACTTGTGGAGGGAGGAGAGGGTGCGGAGGAGGGAGGATACTAATTGGGGAGGGGGGGTTAATGGATGGAGGGGGGATGGGGGAGATGCGGAGGAAGGGGAGCTGATTTGGGAGGGGGACGAGGAAGAGGAGGGGTGTTCGTCGAGACCCAAGATATAAAGGGTATAGAAAGTCAACAGCATCAGGCCGTGATACTCCGACGTGAGGCCGGCCAAAGTGCGCATGTGTAGCGGGTGTTTATAAAGCGGTAGTCTCCTTCCCTTCCCAACGCCCGCTTCTCTGACCAAGGCGTACGCTTTCGCCACACCAATCCCGCGTCCCAAATACCCCATCGAGCTGACAGTCGTGTGCACCCTTGTGATATTCAGTATCGTCGAAATCTCCTTAATCCCCTCCCCTTCCTTTCCAATCATCCACCCCCTCATCCCCTTCAGCTCCAGCTCCGCAGTCGGCAATCCCACCGTTCCAAACTTATTTTTGAGTCTGGAGATGGTGATACCATTCAACTCCTCTCCTCCCTTTTCTCCCGTCACCGAAACCAGCTCCGGGTTATATCGTCGCATAGGCGCCATGAACGCCGACACCCCCATCCCGGGGCGCGTCTTGGCCAGTAATATGGTCATTTGGCTATCGGTCGCTGAAGAAAACCATTTAAAGCCTGAGATTGACCAGGGACCTAGGGGGATGGATTCCTCTTTTGATGCCAATGCCAACGGCACTTCTTCTTTTGCGTCAGGACCAGCAGAAGAAGGGAAGGGGTCATAGACAGCGACGGTTTCGGTTTGGGAAACGTCGGAGCCACCAGTCCGCTCAGTCATCCACTGTCCACTCGTCCACGCATACGCCTTATCCCTCGAGGTAAGATGGTCATACGCATTCCCAAAAACCCTTTTTTCCTCCTCACTCAACCTCCCCACCAACTCCGGCGTCGTCAGGTGGCGTTGCAACAACCGCGCAGCACCATCCTGCATCGCCGCCGGACACAGGGTATTCGCACACGACGCTTCCCAGAGGTGACACCTCAAAAACTGCACCAATCGCGAATAGGGGCCGTTTTGGGCGGAGAAGGTAGGGTCGTAGTTGATCGCTACGACGCCTTGCTCGAAGCCGAATTCTTGAAGTTTGCGCCAGCCTTCGGAGACGATGAGTTCCTGTTTGGAAGAGGGACGGCCGAATGCGTCACGCCCGGACCCGCGCAGGTAGGGGGTGTTGCGCTCGGAGTCGGTTATCCAGTGGAAGATTTCGGGGGCGAGGACGGCGGAGCCGAGGGAGGAGAGGGAGGGGGTGCTGGAGGAAAGGAGGGAAGGGGGGGAGGTAGACTTTGGGTTGATGGGTGTTAGTTGGGATTGTTAGGCGAGGGAGGGAAGGAAGAAGGGGGGGAAAACGTACGTTTGGCTATCCGCTGGAGACTGACATCTTCGTGGAACTGGTTTTTGATAATGGGCTGTTGTTGGATGAAGCCCGTGTTTGCGCTTGAGGGTTCCATTTTGGCAGCCGTCATTGAGTGAAGTCGTCAAGCTTGTTTGTTCAACTTAAAGATGAATTCGTGAGGAAGTGTCCATGATACCGAATGTTTGAGGTAAGCTAGATGCTAGCTCAGGCCGAACCTACACGTGTAGGTGGTGCACAAAGCACATGAGTGGCTTGCCTGCCCATGTGCATTGCTTGGGGTCTGGTGTTTGTTCTAGGCTCGTGAAAGAAGCCGAGGTTCGTTACCTAACAATGAACGTTGAGCATGTTCCCCTTTGGTGATGGTCGCCCTCGTACACACCCCTGGCCCCTTCCCTCCTCCAATGAAAGATCTGGGGAAGCGAAAGGGATAAAAACGCGGGGTGCCAAGGCCTGGGGGAATTTGGGGAAGTTGTGAAACTTGAGTTCACCGTTGCACGTGGTTGAAGATCGTCTCTTTCTATGACGCTCCCGAAAATTTTACAAGTGTCTCATCAAGATGTTGAGGTCCGGAGATCGTCACCAGGATGGTTTACGTCTAAGAGCTGATTAAGAGGCGGAAAAGAGTTTGGTGAAAGTTATTGGATTCATCCAGGCAGGAGTCACAATAACATAAGCAAAGACCATCAAGGTCATCACACACACTTGAGGTAAAGATGTACAGCGGCAGAAAGTTTTGTATTTCCACTCTCCCATATATGCGATCCGTTTGGTCCTGTCATGTCCTGTTTGATATCCAGAAAAAGAAAAAAGGAAAAAAGTAGACCGCCAAAAAAAGAGAATTGTTTATCAATAACCCCAGAAAAGAAAACTCCCAATCATGATACCATCACATCTATCCAGGTCACATCACACACAAATCAGAACATCTATTTGAACTGATCCTCAGTGACACCCTTGCCCATCGCCGCCGTGGAGCTGATACCACCGGTGACCATCTTCTGGAGCTCATCGACGTACGTGGCGCCGGACCACTTCTGGTGCTTGACGACATCGACGCCGGTCTCGATCTCGGGCTCCTGGACGAGCTCGCCGTAGGCGCGCATGCCGATCTTGCTGTAGGCCTTGGCGAACTGGTCGCTGATGAGGGCGGTGGTGTGGAGACCCGCAAGAGTGATGAACTGCCAGCAGTAGCCGAGCTTGGCGAGGCGGCGGATGTAGGTCTCCTGCTCGTCGCGGCCCATGGCGGTCTTCCAGTTGAAGGAAGGAGAAAGGTTGTAGGCGAGCTTCTGCTCGGGCCAGACGGCGTGCACGCCCTTGGCGAACTCCTCGGCCTGAGCGTAGTCGGGCAGCTTGGACTCCATCCAGATGGCGTCGCAGTAGGGCGCGTAGGAGATGGCGCGGTTGATGGAGCAGTCGCAGCCACCCTTGAGGCGGTAGTAACCCTCGCGGGTACGGGGAGAGTCCCAGTCGAAGAAGATCTCCTGGCCGAGAAGCTGGCGGGCGATGGCGCGGGCCTCGCGGTTGGAGATCTGCTTGCCCTTGACGGCGGCCTGGTACTTGGCGGCGAGGTCCTTGCCGTTGGAGAAGTTGCCCTTGGCGATGACGTCAAGGACGGCCTCGTCGAAGCGCTTGAGGTTGGCCTTGGCGAGCCAGTCGTCCTCGATGGCCTGGAGCTGGGCACCGGTCTTGCCGGCGGCCTCGGCCTTCATCATGAGCTCAGCGAGGGGCTCAAGGTCGGGGTTGGTGCATCCGATGATGAAAGCGTGGTCGCGGGGATCGATAGTGGTGGTGATGAGGGTGGCGGCCTCGGCATCGGTACGGGCAATGCAGAGGAGGTCGGAGCCCATGATATCAGCCTGGGCACGGATGGCGACGAGGCGGTTGATGTGCTCCTGGATGGGGACGAGGACCTTGCCGGCCATGTGACCGCACTTCTTGGTACCAGGGGCCTGATCCTCAATGTGGATACCGGCAGCACCCTTCTCAATGAAGAGCTTGGTGAGCTTCATGACGGCAGTAAGACCACCGTGACCGGTATCGGCATCGGCAATGATGGGGCGGAGGTAGTCGTAGTTGTTGAGCTTCTCACGCTGGGCCTTGGGAACGGAGAGACGCTCCTGGCGCTGCTTGCGGTCGTGGAAGAGCTGAGCCATGAAGAGATGGCCAACCTTGTTGGGGACGGTGGTCTGAATTCTGATATCAGTATGGTTGGACTCAATGGCTCATCCTCACCGAGAAACTCACGTAGGGGTAGTCAGCAAGATCCGGGCCGGGCTCGTCAGAAGAGGAGGCGGTCGAGGATGATTGCCAGCCGGAGACGTAGACGGTATCGAGGTACTTGGCCATCTGGGTCACCATGGTGGGCTCCAAGCAGCCGTATGTGTAAGAGGCATCGCGCTTCTATTGTAGAGTGAGATTGTCAGTGAGGTTGTTCCCCTCAAGTCTTCCAATGGCATGTGCTGGTGGTTACTAACAGCGAAGCGGTCCTCGAGGATCTTCCAGAGCTTCTTGGCCTGGGCGTTGCTGGCGTACTCGATCTTGAGGTTTCCACGCTTGGAGACGATCTGCTCAGCGGTGAAAGGACGCTTGGTCTGCCTCCAGCGCGAGTCGCTCCACCACTTCTTGAGCTCCTCGACCTCCTTGGCGAAAAGCTCGTCCTCGAGAGCGGGATCCACGGCGGGGTTGTTCATGTTGTTGGCAGCCATTTTGGGCGGTTGTGTTGTGAAGAAACGTTAAAAGGGTATAATAAAGATTAAAACGCGAGACAACACAACTTCTAGTGTGTAGTTAATGTCGTGGATATCTTAGTACCTAGCACTCAAAGCAAGGACGGGTATGAAAGGATGATGTCGTGGGGATGGGTAAAGAGTTCAAGGTGGTGTTGACTTGAAACTCGGGAGTCGGTTGATGTGATACAGAATAGTAAGAACAAAGAAAGAAGCCGGGAGGAAAAGGAATCGGGGGGACCAAGTTTCTTAAGAAAGGAACCGAGGAAGCAGAGCCCCAAACATATGAATCAGGAACACGGTCACGGGAAAGCAGGTTCGGCGGCGACACGGGCTGGAACCGGAGCGTGGATGCCCTGACTGGCCTCGTCTTCTTCCCCAGTCATCCCCATTCCATCTCCATCGATCCCCATACTCTCTTGCAGGACAGCCAGGGGTTGGATGGAGGCTGTCGGGGACATGGCAACACTGGGGAAGCGAAGACGGGGGAATAGCCGCTAGACCGGTCTCTCCCGACATATCTCAGAGAACTCTCCGGGTTTCAACTTTCTGACCGTCAGTCGAATGCCCGGATATCATTGGCGACTGGACCTGGGGACCTTGACAACTTCTGGACGTGTCTGACTCGACATCAGTCTGAAAGAGACCAGCATGCGACAATCCGTGTGGAGCCGGACCCGGGGTACTGTGGGCGAATATACGGGGTGCCGCGAAGAGCACCGTAGGTACAGGCCGAGGGAGGATCCATCTCTTGACCCATATCTTTTGCTGCCTCGGGAGCTGTACACGTTGTACTTTTGATCATGTACCTATCCCAAGACTGATTTGATGACCGTCGCGAATGTTGCCGTGTCGCGTGCTGAGGACGGGACGGAGCAACGTCCAGTTAACTGCTTGCGGAAACGGAATCGGAGGGACCTTTTTTCTTCTCAAGTGCCATCCCACCTGTGACAACCCTTGGCCTCAACTCAACTTTCGTCAAGCCGATGAATGATGCGCACCAAGTCGGCGTCGGACCAGTCAGAAGGCGTGCTGGGACTTGGCCGCATCCGAAAAGAGGAAGAGATGGAGAACCCCCCTTTGGCCGAGCGATGTCTCGTTGCAACCCCACATCTTTTCCATGCCAACCAACCCAGGTCCCAGCCAGCCCAGCCATACATGCTCCGTTACCGTAGAGCCCCGTGAACCGAATTACCGAATGCCGGGACTTTGGCCATCATACTGTACATCAACGACGACAACAACTCGTGGCCCGATGAAAGAGCCTATAAGGTGCAATTGGTACAGCACATCCAGGACAATCTTCAGTGCCAAGTGCCAGCTGTTTAGTGACTGTTTTGCTCGTCTCTTCGCGCCGTTACAGCAGTGATGTTGCTGTTATAACTGTTGTTCAGTTGTTGATGACTTGTTGACTTGCTGTTGCTGGAGCCCCTCCCCCACAGTAAAACCACCTGGAAATATCCACATGCTGCCATGTCAACAACGGGCATAAGGGTCATCTTTCAATGTCAGGTTGCCCAGGCATGCGCATATACGCTGCCTACAGTCTGTCACTGTCAACTCATAGTGACATGACTACAGTACCTACCGAGAATAATCTCACGAACCATCCATCCATCTTTCCTCAGGGCCCCGCCATTTTTTTGTTGTCAACCCCAGAATTATCTTTCGGAGGACGGAACAAAGTCTCAAAGCCCGAACAAAAAGCCTGGGGAAAAACAGGAGAACAACCAAACCACCTCCAGTGAAACCCCACCACTGGCATGTGAAAGATGCGTCATAGGCAAGGTAGCCGTAGCGGTACTCATTCCGAACCCGACACCATTGTCATCAAATGCCCCACTGAAAACAACAAGGGCAAAAGGGCAGCAACTGGGAATCGGACCAGCACGCTCACTGATTGGATAGCCCTTTTGACCTCGGTCAACTTTCTAGTGTGGCCCCAAGTCAGCTGCCACTTAGCCCACTCAGCCGCCACTTAGCCCACTCAGCCCACACTTGTTCGGTACGTACCCCGGACCGGACCCCAAACAACCGAAACAGAACCCATGAATAGCGAAAGCTGGGTGTTACCGTTGCTTGTCGGTCGTTTGTATCGTGTTGTTCCTGACATCGATTTTTGTTCGACAACGGGCCGCCCCTTCGTGGAAAGCAAAAAGGAAATGAGAAGATGTCGAAAGGGTCCGAGACGACTGACTGACTGCTACATGCATCACATGCACAGATAAGCATGTGCTCGTGCTTTTGTTGACCTGATGGGTTTCTGGTGTAACACGACTGTTACCGTTCGTAGCCGGGGAAACGATACAAAAGTGTCAAGCCATATGACAGACAATCGACAACACCATGCCGTCGTACCGTACGTTGTAGTGGTATTACATTGCCAAATCCTACTGGTTGGCAACTGATTGCATGCAAGGAATAATTGGATGAAATGAATGAATGAAATGAATGAATGAAACGGTCGGAGAAAGGTAAACCGTTCCGACGAGATCCGCTGTCTCGTATATACGCCGTAAATCCACTTTTTGTCCTGGATGACCAAAAACTGTCTGTAACTGCAGGGGTACAGTGCAGTGTGTCAAAAAGTTGAGACATGTCAGAAACGCCACGCCACGTGAGAAGAGCTCTCTTCAACAAAAAACCAGAAAAAAAAACCATTCAGAGTTCGTCGTCTTCATCATCCTCGTCATCATACAGGAAAATTGTGGTGACTTTTTTCTTCTGCTCCGCCGCTGCCGTTGTCGCCGTGGTCTTGTCGGAGGACGTTCCGGCGCCGATGGTAACCGCCGCCCGTGATTCCTCCTCATGCTCCTCCGTCTTGACGGCCACGGCGGATGCACCCGAGTCAACCACATTAGAAACGGTTGTGGCGGTCTCATCATCGTCAGTTTGCCGTTCCTGAGCCTCAGCCTCAGCCTCAGCCTTCGGCACCGGGGGTGAATAAGCTGAGGCGCCAGCGCGAGGGTTCGTTCCCTGCCGAGCCCCGTATCCGAGAGCTCCGGATCCGTGGAGTGGGTCCTTTCCTTCGCCTCTCTCCGCTGCGCCGGAGACCGCTCTTTTCTCGGCGATCTCGCCTCTCGTCACCAACTCAACTCCGGCACCATCTGTTGTCGACTTTGACTCACCTAATATGTCCATCTCCATCTCCATCTCCATCTCCATCGCGACCGCTTTTATCGAGATCAACATTCATTGTCTCACCATCATCATCATGATCGGTCTTAACCATACTTGACTCATCATCCTCATCCTCCGTTTCTTTCTTTGCTTCCATTTTCGCCAACTCCTGCTCCAGTAACTTGACCTCTCGCCTCCTGTAAAAGGTATCCAAGCAATTTCGCCGCTGCTCTTGCGTCCAGCTTTCCACTACCAGCGCAAAGTCGGTCGCGTTCTGAAAGCCGAACTCTTTCGCCATTGAACAAAACTGCCGTCTCCTGGCGTTCTCGGGCGGGTTGAATTTGTAATGCATCCTAAGCATCTTCTTGTTCGGCGCCGCCGGCCCGTTTAGGTCTTCTTCGTCTTCGTCTTCATCATCATCGCTGCTGTCTGTACTGTCTGCGAACAAAGCGTTATTGACGCCTGGAAAAAGCTGGCTGTCTGCAACGTTTGCTGCCAGTTCGGCGCGCCGTGATAATTGCGCCTCGACTTTGCTGGTGCCGATGACCTCGGAATTTTCATGGGTGTACTCGACGCCCGCTGAGGCAAGGATGGCTGCAATGGCATCGCTTTTTGGCTTTTTGGACTTGCCGGCTTCAAGCAGTTTGTCGGGGTCCTCTGCCGTGACGAGCTTCGCAAGCGAGCTCATGCCCGAGTCGTCGTCATTATCCTCGCTCTCCTTCTTGATGAAGTCCAATTCTTCGTCTTCATCCTTCACGGCCTTTTCCAGGTCGATATCGGTGAGGTTGACACCAGCCTTCGCCTCGGCAATGTTGGTCTTGTTGACAATGTCCCTGAGCACGACCTGGTCGGCGTGGAAAGTGAACAAATTCTCCAGCCCAAAGAGCTCGCCCTTCTTGTTCTTGTCCCTCTGGACACCCTTGAAGTAGCGACGTTCGTTAGAAGCGTTGTAACCAATGTTAGCCTGCTGCTGTTTATAGATCTGCCTAGCATAGACGATCTCTTCGATGGTACCAGCCGAGACCAACCGGAAGACATCCACGTCTCGGATCTGGCCGATTCGGTAAGCACGATCCTGGGCCTGCAAATCGTAAGACGGGTTCCAGTGCGGGTCAAAGATGACCACCTTGTTCGCCGACGTGATGTTTAAGCCGACGCCTCCCGCTTTGGTGGAGATGAGGAACACAAACTGTCGGGGGTCCGTGTTGAACTCGTCGACAACCCGTTGTCGCTCTTCGTAGCTGAGAGCACCGTCGAGAAAGCTGACATTGTAGCTGGTGTTGTGAAAGAGATGCTGCAAGATTCGCAGCAGTCGCACGCTGTGAGAGAAAACAAGCACCTTGTCTCCGCTTTCGTGCCAGAAGCGCAGGAGCTTTCTCAGAATCTTCCATTTTCCGCAGAACTCCGGGTCTGCGAGGGTGAGCATGGAGTCCCGCTTATCGTAAAGCTCTTTCCACGTGTCCGGAGCGCAGGTCTGGAGCACGTTAAGCTCCGAACGTTGCTTGTCGTTGGGATCGGAAGATGAAGGGATAAGTAACGTTAAATGATTCGCGATCTTCTGGAGCGTTATGATGCTGGGAAAAACGTAGGATTTCCACGAGCGACCATCACTCAGGGTCTTGTAGCAACACCACCCTGCAGCTCGTCCAGAGTGACACTTGCAAGGATGGTAAGCATTCAGGATGTAAGTGAGATGTTCTCCGTCTAGGAAATTCTCGTAGGCGATGCGTTGAACGTCTGTCAAGGGGCAGAATACCCTGTATGGTAACAGTTAGAACGAGAAGCTGCTTGCTTTCCTTCGATGCGAATGGTCAACTTACACCTTGTCGCTCTTCTTCGGCAGTTGATGGGCGATCAGACTCTTCATGCGACGGAGGAAAAACTCTGGAAGGAGGTTCTGCACCAGCTTCTTTGCGGTCGTACGGGCAATACTGAGCTGCTTGAGGGTTGCGTCGTGGGATTGGCCTGCTGTCAGAGGCTTTGTTATAGACTCGTTCCATTCGGCCCTTGTCCCAAAATATCCCGGGTTCGTCCAGTTCAGGAGCGTCCAAAGCTCTTCGTATCTGTTCTGTATTGCGGTGCCGGTCAAACCAATCCGACACATGGCGTTGATCTTGTCCATTGCGCGAGTGGTTTCGGACACATTGTTCTTCAGGACGTGACACTCGTCCGCCACGACACAATCCCACTCGACAGTGTTGACTGCCTCATGGCAGTTCCTGTACGTGTCGTAGGTGGTGATCATGACCTCGAGACGTCCTGCATTGGCTGACTGCAGTACATCTTCTCTGTTTGATCCATGATAGATGTCGACGTGCCACCAGCCCCATCGGTTGAGTTCGTTCTTCCAATTCTGGATGAGCGATCCGGGACAGACAATAATGACCCGCGGATACCACAGATCGCCAGCTCGCCGCATTTTTCTCATCCTCTTTGCATCACGCTCGTCTCCAGTCTTGCCGAATGCTACCGTAAGAAAAGCAGCCACCTGCACAGTCTTTCCCAGACCCATATCATCGCCGAGAATGCAGCCTCGCTGGTAGACAAACTTTTGGTGCAGAAACTTGACGCCTTCCACTTGGTAGTCGCGGAGGTATTGCGCGATACAAGCGGGAATGGTACCGGCAGAGTACTCCAGCTCGACATCATTGTAGGGTTGACAAGGCTTGATACCGGAGCTTTCATCAAACTTCGGACGTTGCTCGTGCCTGGCCCCTATCTCGTCGTCGGAAAAGTAGATGTCTTGGTAGTCTGGCGGTAACTTCAAGCCGGCATTGCGCAACACCTCTCTGTCCTTGTTGAACTTCTTCCGGCGCTTCAACAGATAATCGGGAATGAAGGCTTCGGCGTAGTCGGTTTCTTCCTTTTTCTTGACGGTGGGCTGGTTCAATTCGATGATCTCGTCGTCTCTCGCCCGATCTGTAGCCGCAGCAGCCTTCTGTCCTCCCCAGCCCTTCCCCTTCCCTCCTCGGCCTCTACCTCTCCCAGAAGTAGCACGTCGTTTCGCAAGTCGCCGTGCCTTGAGCTTCTCTCCATCGTCGGAATCGTCTGACCATTCGACCTTTTCCTCGAAATCGGAACTGACGCTCAACTTGCGTTTGCCCAAGCAGGTAGTTGTAGCGCTAGCGCTGCTTTGGGGACGGGCATTTTCGACGTCGAAGTGAACATCTTCGTCGAAAGATAAGGTAGGGTCGTCATCCGAGAGTACTATTGCATTATCGGCCATTGCGCAGGCATGGTATCGGTTCGTAATGGTTGATTATCGCGACGCGTTGCTAGGTGAAAGTTGGCGACGGAGGGGCAGAATGCAGGGGTCAGGAATCGCGCCTAGAGAGCGTGAGCACGTGTGGGCTGTTAGCTTCTAGGCAGCAAGCGAACCCTAACCCGGAAGTGGTACAAGGAGAGGCATCTGCGTTCAGTCAGCTTTATATCAGATGAAAGCTTCTCTCAAATGAGAGTATGGTCTGTAATCTGTTTATATTCAAAGAGACATTGAGATGATCATTACCGTGCCTTCATCAACACCGTCTCTCGCCGGTAGACACAGTCACTTCCCAGTTCAGAGGAGCTCGGAGCTTCCCGATGCTAACTGCTAACACCAACATCCCACGTTACATCAACTAACAGATGGTCCACCAGAAGATCGTTATCACCCAGGCTCCCAGGTCATCCTATCCGTCGCTACGCGAAAAACGTGGGAATAAAGTTTTAAACCTTTCGGTTTATCTTAGCCGTGCCGAGCATTCGCTCATCGAACCATTGTCTCGGGCCTCAATTTGGTGTCGTAATAGCCGGCTAGGCGATCATATTGAGCTTCCTCTTCTGACTTAGACGCGGCTCTTGTAACGGGTACTGTTAGCGGGCGGCGGTGGAGGTCCTCGTTCAACACGAGGGGGCTCTTATCGACCTTGTCTGGGAGAGGGGTTCTGTTAGTGCAGTCACCACCGGCTATACAGTATATCAAGGTGGGGTTCACCACAGCAGCTCGGCTTGACTTCACTTCGTCTTCAACTTCATCAACTCTTTTTAAAACACTTTGACTCCCATTTTTCATCTCCCTTCCGTCTTAACACGGAGTGAGAATCTCGACATCGCATCTCAACCTCAGCGCTTTGAGCAATCAACACATCTCTTCCTTCCACCGAAACTCACCAACAACCAACACCACCACCAACACAATGGCGGACCAGACCAAAACCGACGGCCTAACCCCCTCCCAACTCACCTTCTTCCTTGAAAACGGCTACCTCATAATCCCCCGCGCCCTCCCTCCCTCCACCGTCTCCCGTCTCCTCTCCACAACGCACACCCTTCTCTCAGACTTCGATCTCTCGTCACACCCCTTGACCCGCTTCCGCACCGGCGGCGACACCGGCCATGACCACGTCGGCGACGACTATTTTCTTTCCTCCGGCGACAAGATCCGCTTCTTCTTTGAAGAAGACGCCTTCGACAGCTCTGGAAACCTCATCAAACCCAAGGACAAAGCGATCAACAAAATCGGTCATTACCTGCACGGCTTGAACCCTGCGTTTGCCAGCCTGTTGGCTACTTCCCCTAAGGATGAGAAGGGGTGGATTGAAGACCTAAAGGCGCGCCCGGCGGCTGTTGCGAAAGATCTCGGGTTCAAGGATCCGCGGTGCTTGCAAAGTATGGTCATTTGCAAACAACCCGAGATAGGCGGGGCGGTGCCTCCTCATCAGGATAGTACGTTTTTGTATACCGATCCGCCTAGCGCGGTAGGGTTCTGGTACGCGTTGGAGGATGCCACGCTTGAGAATGGATGTTTATCTTTCTTGCCGGGGTCGCATCTGTGGGCGCCTATTGAGAAGAGGCTGGTTAGGAAGAATGGGGAGAAGGAAGGGACGGAGATGGTGGATAATGAGGGCCCGAGGTTCCCGCCTGGTGAACAGTATGGGGAGGATAAGAAACCGGACGCGATAAAAGGGAAGGAGGAAGAGGAGAAGGCGTATGTGCCTGGGGAAGTGAAGGCGGGGGATTTGGTGCTCATTCATGGCAATATTTTGCATAGGAGTGAGAGGAACTTGAGCCAGAAGGGCAGGATTATCTATACTTTCCATGTTATTGAGGGTGGGGAGGGGAGGGAGTATGATAAGCGGAATTGGTTGCAGCCGCCCAAGGAGGGGTTTACTAGGTTGTATGCTTAGGACGTCGGACGGGGTGTGTGATGAGGATGAAGATGGGTGGAAACAGGCCTCTCGCGACGGTCATGACGAATTCAGAATATGTTATCAGGCGTTGCTTTAAGTAAAATCCGGTTGGCTTTAGCCCCCATATGAGCAAATTCGAATCACTGGTTGTTAACTCAGGTTGTTCAGGGTGACCGTCATGTGGATATTGAATAACATGTCACGTTGTCTGACAGTACCAATTTCGCAGTTTTGGAAACTACTATTTACTCGTAGCTAAATGATCACGAAATCAGAGACATCGACGTCAACCGAGTTCTGAAACACCGGGACACCCAAAGCATTGGGTATCTGATCATCAATGGCATAATTTCCTCCGCTGTTTGGATGATCCTGGCCGACCGAGTTGATGGATCCGTAAATAATCTTCCTGGATATTACGCCTTAGTCTTGACACAAAGATTTAGCGGACGATCATCTAGCCCCAGCTGACTGTTTAGACCAGATCTCATCTCATATCAACACCCATCCACTTCCAAATTCACTTGTCATGTTTCGTATGAAGTTTCACTGAACGATCAACAAAATAAAGCTGCTGTTTCTCTTTTTTGTTGTGGTAGTGGTTCCTAAGCTCGAAACTTTCTCTCTGTCGAATTTGCAAGTCATTCCATGACGTGTGCCTTGGTGGTATTTTGGTAAAACAACATCAAAATGTTTGTGAAAAAGTAAGAGAAGGGAAAAAAAGTTAAATGGTGAATAGGTTCGCAAACGGGTGACAAGAAGTGAAGAGATGAGTGAAAAAGAAATAACAGGGTAACAGGATAACAAGTAACGGGGATATAGAAAAGAGAGAGAGAGAGAGAGAGGGAGAGAAAACCACAACAGAACCAGAACCCGGGAAACTCCTAATCTTTCCCATCCAGCCCTCCCTTCCTAAAGATCCAGCAAAGAAGCGGAGGTGAAAGAAAAAACGGCCGTCAACCAGACGTCAGCATCCCCATGGTCGAGAAACAGTAACAACGATTGTTCATCCCTTGTTAGGGTGAATATTCCTCCTGTCACCCTCCAGCAGCACCAACCTGAATGTCGCAAAATCGAAAAGGTATCACATCCTCTCCTCCACGTAGACTCTCCCCAACCATTTTCTGTGCGAGTTGCTGATGAATAGAGGTCGATCAAATGTCGCAACCGGCTCGTGTCGTTCCAGCCCGTTGATTTTGCCTCTTTACCCTCCTGGCTTAGATCGGGCTTACAGGGAAGCTCCTCACACCACCACTCAAATCTCCGCTTCCCGTCCTCCGTAGCGCCTGGGACATGGTCTCAATCGCGATCTCGCCGTTGACAACCGGGCTAGGGTGCAAAAGACTTGTTGGGCTACCAAGTGGTTTCCTGCCTGGGGATCCCGGGATAGCACCAATATCGAATCCCTTCACCGATCCAGACTTGCTAGTTGGGGGACTTGTGTTATGGCCGCCAGAAGAGGAGACTGGGGAGCGAACTGGGCTGGGTGAACGGTTGACGCCGGTGGGGGTGAGGCTGGTCAAGCCAGCAAAGTGCAAGCTATCGCGCGAACCCGCAACCTGTTGCTGCTCGGCCTGCACGACGTCGGCAAACGAGATGAAGCTCAGACGGCGGATATCCGTGTTATCAAAGCTGCCGTAGTTGGAAGCTGTCTCGTTTCCAGGTATTGTCCCCCGGCCAGCTGTGAAGGCGGCCAGCTCCTCTGCCCAGGTTGCCTCAAGGGAAAGAGGAACAGGATTGGGGGCAGCTCCAGTCACCGTCACGGCGGCGGGCTGATGGGAGGTATGTGTGATGATCTCGACGGTATCGGGGTCAAGGCGCTTGTCGGTGATGGCCTGCGAAGAGGCGTCAAGCACGGGCGGGATGTAGTTCTCAGTCTGGATGTGAGATGGGATGGCTGGTGAATTTGGGACCATGGAAGCGCTTTCTTGTACGTCGCGCTCGAAGATCTGGCTACCAGCTGGGGATGAAAGTCGTGGAGACGAGGTGAAGCCACGGCCGGGCGATTGTGGTGTAATGTAGACGTCGGACTGAACAGGCGAGGCACCGGTTGACCTCTTAACCCAAGAGGTGGCCTTTCCACTGCCAGTAGATGGGGCAGGCGATTTCGAAACGGACGATGCCTCTTCCTTCTTCTTTCCAAAGCCGAAAAGGCTGCGCTTCTTGGCCTTCTTCTCCTCCGAAGCTCCTCCCTCTCCTCCGGCCGCCGCTCGTGGGGTCGCGTTTCCAGAGCCTGAATCGGACTCAAACGGGCCCGCTAACCTTGGGATACTCTGGCCGCCCTGGGGCAGCGATGTGCTTGCGAGACTCATAATGATGATGTGTGTGTTGTGATAGTACTGGATCGTGCTCGGTTATCTCGGACTCTGGGGGATATGCAGATGCGCAAAAAGTCGTATTTGAAGTGCCGAGCGCGGATGGTGTTGGTTGTTTGGGACGAAGATAGAGGACAAAGAAGAGCAAGTTTCAAGCTTCCAGCTAAAGCTTCTCAAAGTCGGGACACGGGTGGGGAGGCTAGAATCAACACCGGGATCTGGTCAGCGCGAACTATTTTGGGAACACAAGGATTCAGATTCAGAGCACGAGCATGGAGCAGACATGGTGGTGATCCAAGATGGAGCTGGTTTTGAAATTCCCCCAATTTCGGCTGGCGGCGACAGTGGGGGTGGAAATGGCTATTGTTGTCGCGACAACAACGAACAGGGCACAAGCTTTTCCATCTTGGCCCAGGATGGGACAAAGAGCAATTCGCGAGGCTGTCGCATGCCCATTGCGCATCGCTAGGCTCAAGTGGGATGGATGATTACCACAATCCATGACTCCCATCTCACCATGACTGCGATTGCGGTTGCGACTGTGACGTGGACGGGGGAGAGAGAGAGAAGAATGCGCCCTTACCAAGTTGTCCAATAACCAACCTTGACACTTTTGGGGTTGATAGTGTAGATTGCGTCTCTTGCGATGGCGAGGTGTGAAGAGACGAGAGAAGAAAAAATTGCCCGGGTCGGCTTTGGTGCAATGGTAAGGAAGGAAGGTTCGAGCACGTCCGGGTTTGTGGTGAGTGGGAGAGAAGGATCGCGGGATGAGGACGAAGAGGAGAAAGGAGGGAGCGACCGAAGGGTGATGTTTGTGTTGGTGTGTGTCCGTCCAGTCGCAGTCACCACTCTGGCACCAGTGTGTGATGTGATGCCCCGATGCAGAAGTCGAAGCTAGGACTCTTCTCTGGACCTGCCCCGGATAGTGGATGCTTCAGGTCACCCTTGGCGGGCTGTGATGGGGTCGTTGTCGACGAAGTGCTGGGTGTCCCCTGGATCTGCCCGCTGCAGTCTGATGCGATCTTGACCAAAGCCGCAAATTCCACTTTGGGAGTTAGTGTTTGTTAGAGCTCTGGGACCTTTTCTGCTCTTTACGCGTCGAGGATTGTTGGAAGTGTTTGCAGATTTGGACGTGTTGTACGCGGAGTCCGAGAGTCGGACAATGCAAATCAAGTGGCAGATTGTGGAAAGAAGTTTATATCACGGAACGAAAGAAAACAAAGAGTTTTCCTCCCTGTTTCTCTTTGGCCCGCTTGTCGAGCCCAACTTTTCTATTAACGAGCTGTGATAACAAATAAATCAAGATCCACGGATGGATGACGACGGTCCAAACCGACCCACTCTCCTCCTCTAACTCTTCGGAGCTAGTATCAATGTAAAATACGGTAATATGGACTGCCGTGGTAGCCTGAGAGTCATGCGAAGGGCGTAAAGGCTCGTTTCGGTCGAAAGATCACCAATGACAAAACATGGAATAGTTCCTAGAGGTATCACCATCACGATATCAAGTACTGTCTAGGCTGGTCTGAATCACAGTTGATGACACGCCAAAGGCCTTGTTTCTAACCTTCTGGTCATTTCAAGGTCCAACTTTCATGCTCACTAGCCGCCAAGCTCCGGAAATTCCGCAGCGAATATTCTTGAGAAGAGCAAGGAACAAGCCGACACGAGAACGTGCTTGACGGTTGTTGAGCCATTGACTCTACAAACGGTTGTGTATCTCACGATACTGGCCCGAACTTCTCACCCCTCTCTCTGGACCATGGTGTGCTACCAAAGCTTTTCTCGTTGCGGCAATAAGACCCAAGTGATTGGAAGGCGTGGTTAACCCCTTTTGGCCACAGTCAGTTGTGTGCATCACTCAGCAGACCTCAAACTCAGCCCTGAGAAGCGTTGGACCAAGGGAGGGGGTTTTTGGACGAAAGAGAGTGTCGGCCGGATGCGGGAGGTGATATGAGTCTGGTGATACGGAGTCGTACCTGATGTCGAAGGAATCCGGGAGATAGGGCTTGATTGGGCCGACCAGAAAACCACCGTGTCGCATAATGGAAACCAATGCAATCAAAATATTTCCCTTTGGTTGCCGCGACCTGATACTCTGCTGAGACGAACTGACTGACTGTATGACTGTCCAGACACATGGTCGCAGTCGGTCGCAGTGATGGGATTTGCGCACCTCTTGCAGCGTCAACGGTATCAACAACACTCAGCTCACTATTCTATCAGATTTCATCACCAAGTCATCACAATGACTCCATCAAAGCCCCTCCCACTTACACTACAACAACTTTTGCAAAAGGGTCTCGCCTCAGTCAAAGTGTCGGATCAAGTTCCGGCGTCGTCTTACTGAATTAGGGCATGGCCTCAGCCCACTTGTCGATCACAGAAAGGGCACCTGATGCCGTGGGGTATTGGATGTGCCTGGCATTTCGACCCTGAAATTGAGAAGAGAATCAGGTGGGGAAAGCGCTATCTACGTCACACGCCCAGCGTCCGACAATGAAACTTTTACAACTTCACACCTGTGTCGCTTTGTGCACACTACCGATGCCATTCCATGCCATGCATCCATCATCCATCTCGAGACCTTCTTCTTAAGCTTCCGGTTGTATTCAGAACTCTAGACTCGGGCCCGACAATACCCAACATCGGTTGCTCAAGGTATACAAACCGTTGCATCTGTGGTTGCTTCCCAGGACCACGACACAGCCTGGCGCAACAGACAGACCCGAGACCATTGCGTCTCCCCCTGGACCATTAACAACAACCCAGGAATCCGGGGAAGCAAATGCGGGGTTGCAAACCTCAGTTGGGAACCGAACTCGCTTGTTGTTTCCAGGGTCTTTTTTTCTTTCTTTACAGAGGGAGTCACGGTGAGTCAGGTGAGTGGCTCTTCAAAGGGAGCTGAAGCCATCCGCGTAGGTATCTCAGCTACTGTACACACCTTGATGTTCAATGCTGATGTTGGTGGTATTTTTGGAGGTCTTTACGAACTCGGGTGACGAAAATGTGAAGAGCTTTGTTAGCTCACCTCGAAACCCCTGCATAACCGTCACGCGTTTCCAATTCGCCTCAAAGGTGTCCGATACACTCCGACGAAGGCCAAATGGGCCGACCGAACAACAGCGTGATCGTGCCTTGTGTGTACAAGCAGTATGATTATTGTTTCATACGCTTCTCTCCTGTTCATGCGGTACCCGTAGTCTCCGACCACTCATGGAAAATCTGGACAGGTAATGACTAACTAGCAGTATCCGAGACACGTGGAAGGTCGTCGGACTGAGGTGAACTGAAAAACGGAATGTACCAGCGGCCCGAACCAACCGGGCAAGCTGGGCCGGGACTAGTTATCAAACAACATGGGATGAACCGAAGAGACCCACTGTAGCCGGCCGTCAAGGTCCGCAGAAAATCGGGGATTGGAGCGGAGAAGTGGAGCAGATAAACCGGAGCTCCCGTTGAGTGGCCCAAGCGTTGTTTACCTTCAACCCCGACCTACTTGGACCGTGCACTCTGCACGTGACTTTGATAAGCGGTTTCCCGAGAAAAAGTTCATGTCCAATGTGGGATGGCGAGCCCGCGCGGAGCTCGATTGAGAGACAGAGACGCTGAACGTGAACGAGGCCGATTCGAGGTGGACGGGTGAACAATTTGGACGACCAGAATCCCTCCTCCCATTCGCGATATCCCAAAAGTCGACAGGCGTCCAATTGCAATTTTGCGACGGAAAACTTGAATCTGAAAAAGTAACAGAGCGAGACACTCATAATCATCCTCTTCTTGTTGAACTTGTTGATCCGTCCTCGCCTCTTTTTTTCCCGCCTGCAACCCGGACCCGAAACCTCGTCCCCTCCTTTGACAATTCCACCCACCCTCGGCTCTCCGACCAATCCCGTCGTCCCCGTCTGTACAACTTCTTCACTGAAGCCCAGCAACGACGGTCACCTAGAGTGTAAACCAACAGACAACAAACAGAGTCAACAAAAATGGAGGCATCTCTTTCCCTGTTCCGGCCCGCGGCCACCTGCTGCCGCCGCGTCGCGCTCTCCTCCACCACCACCCCGGCCGTCGCCGCCGGCATTTCCGTCCGCTACCAATCGACCGCGAACCGGACAAAACGCATGCTCAACATCCCCCCGCACGAGTCCTTCCTCGACGTGCCCGTCGACGGCGACCGCATCATCTTCAACCCTCCGTCGTCCGAGGCCTCGGTGTACCACACGCCCTTCAAGTTCCTTCCGCGCTCCGACCCTCGCCGCCGCGCCAACATTTACAAGCTCTTCCAGACTCCTCCTCAAGCTGCCCCTACTACTACGCCAGAGGCCGGCGCCGCCGACGCCGCTGCCGAGGGACAGCTACCGCCCGTCCTCTACAACCCCACAAAGTCGTACAACGTCACGGCTGAGCAGGTCGAGGAGATCCGCCAGCTGCGCGCCAAGGACCCCAAGAAGTACAGCGTCACCTACCTCAGCAACAAGTACAACTGCACAAAGGTGTTCATCATGATGTGCACCCAAGCGCCCCGTGAGCACCAGGAGGCGCACAAGCTCGCGCGTGCCAGGATCGCCGAGAGCTGGGGCCCCCGCAGGGCGGCTGCCAAGCTGGATGTCAGGAGGAGAAAGGAGATGTTGCATCGTGGCGAGATATAAGTGCGGAATCGGGTGGACTGGGATTGCGATTGGGGTTGTTGGGGAAAGCGTTGTTGAAGAAGGGGGAGGGGCGAGAGGAAGAGGACGGTTTAGGGCGGAGGAGGAGGGAGCGGGTGAGGGAGAAATGAGAAGAAGGGAGTGGTCTGGTCTGGTTTGGTCCGGCTTTTGGTTGCTTTGCTTCCCGCGCGCGGTATATATACTTTTCTCTGGTAACCCGCTGTTTTGGTCTAGCTGGCGGGTTTGGGACAGGGACACCTGTTTATCTTGCCGTCTGAGGATAGCGCCAAAGGGAACAGGACGATTGCCTAGCTTAGCTCATCTCAGCCCATCGTTATGCGCGTCGGGCCAGTGAGTGAGCGGATTTTCGATAGGCGCAAAGGGGACGGGTGATAGATATACCACCACCAGCAACTCGAACCCCCCAGTCGTTGACCGACCGACCGACCGGCCAGTCAGCTAGTTCCTTCGATCTACCACCCCAAGTCCGCCAGCCATGGCACGAAGAGCGAGCCAGGAGGAGATTGTTGCCATACCCACTTTGTATTACTAGTCACAGCACAGCGCATAAAAAGGGGAGACAGACAGACGCATTGGTCACGACTATTTGCACGCCTTGTACGATCAGGAATAGGTATGGGGAAACGGAAAATGGGTCGGGTCGGATAGGGGTTCGTGATGAGTGGTGAAAGCCTACGTTGAGCCGGCAATACACCTCTGTACATATGTCCATGTCATTCTCATGTCTTTGTTCAAATACCACTCGCGCGGCATTCATCAAAGCAAATGGCGAAGTGAGAACAGAGGTGAAGAGACAATTAAGAGTCTTAAGTTAGCCATCGGACCAAACCCAATTTTCGGGGTTCCGCTATGACTGAGGAAACAGTCCCTACCCGGGAGCAACGGAATATTGTCCGTCTGGATGACTAGAAGCCAGTAACGTTATCCGAAACCCACAACACCTCGTAAGGCTACAATCTTGGTTTCCCCTTCCTCTAATATACTCCAAAAACCTCCATACCCTTTTAGTCCAAAGCAAATCCCCCAGCAAGCGACGATTACGACTGTCATCCAAAATACTACGACGCCTGTACTGGTCACCCCGGTTTCCTATTTTTCCTCAAGCGCCTTGCACCTGGCCTCCTGTCTGGCAAATTCGTAGTCCAGTTTTCCGGGAATCGCCCTCCAGCACCAACCGCACCAACTCCTCACCTTTGCCTGCATCTCCCGGCCAAGGATATCGCCTCGATCCCTTTCGTCAGGCCACTCAGGAACGCAAGCCCCGACCTTGATCATCCGGACCAGCTTCTTCTTAACCACACCGCCGATGCCTTCGATCTCATGCCGCTCATAGCCGGGCTTCAGCATAGGACTAGGGGTTCTGCGTTCGAGACTGGGCAGGGTAAAGCCAAGACCTCCCGCCTGAGATGACGAGGAAGCGCTACTACCGTTTACACTTCCGTTACTGCTTGCGGTGCTGGCAGTATCGGTGCCCCACAGAGCGATGGAAATGTTGGAATCATTCGAGACAGTGGTGGTGGAGGGAGACGGAGTGTACACATAGGTGCCGTCGGCTTCTTGAGCATCTTCGGCGTCACAGTCGATCTCCTGTTCTCGCTTCCGGGCAGCGCAGCAGTCACTCCCGCGGCCGCAAATGACACCGCGATCGCCTTCGCCAATGCCTGTGCCGAGACCGCCGAGGACATCGGTGTATTGGTTACGCCATTTCCAGATGCTGGTGATAGATGACATGTCAGCGCCTAATGTGAATTGGGTGGAGGCATACCAGCTTACCTTTTGTAATCATAATCGTCGTTTCGTATTGTTTTACCGCATGGCTGGCAAAGCCAGACGCCGTCTGTGTCACATTTGCAAATGGCTCTTTGCACCTCGTCCGACTCGACGGAAAACTTGGGCCCAAGGGGTGGCTTTATGAGATTCCCGATGGGCGCCTTTGCGCATGGTACGCACAGCCGGCGGTGTCGGTCGCGGAGCACAATCGGTGCCGGAGGTTTGATGGCACAATTCTAACAACAAATTTCGGACTGGTCAGCTCTTTTAGCTCCAAAGAACCATGGTAACATCATGTACTTACCCGGCAAACGACAGTTCCGCAACGACGACATCCTCCAACCATATCGCGAGCGCATTGACCGACCTTGCAAGGTTTATTGGATCTTCCCATCTCTTGCATGTAAAACCAGTTGGTGGTACGAGCGCGATACCGCAAAACCGCATCGGGGTCGATAGGAAGGTCTTCGTTGGAGCAATGCAAGGTGGAATCAAGGAGCGACCTGCGATATTGCAGTAGGTTCGCCCTTAGTTGCCGGCAGGTTCGCGACAGGCTATCAAGCGTGTTCAAGTCAATGGAGGCAGCCAGAGACTTGACGATACTGGTTATTGGAAGATTTGAGTCAGTAATTCACCCCTCCCGTTCGCGTGAAGAGAAGGAGAGGGGAGAATCCGAAGACATGTCAAACATGGGGGATCTAGAAGAGTGGAAGAAAACGGGGTGGAAAGTGGTGGTGGCCGCCTACGGATAGCATCCCAAAGCCAGTGTCATGCGGGAGTTCTGGTTCGGATTCTCCCTGACAGCGGGCTCGTGAGCCTCCTCGCGATGTTTCTCAGTGTTCACGCTGCCCTCGCCCTCCATCTTGGTCCGGCCGATGTCGGTGACGATCCCCGTTCCAGTACCATTCCTAACCGGCAGGTTCAAGCCATGATGAAAAGGCTGAACCTGGCCGGGGTCGACATCCTCGTCTTCAAGATCTACAAAGACGGCCATGTTCGAATGTCGGCAATACGGTTGTTGATGGTGCCGATACAAGGATTCGGAGGATCGAAGAATCGAGTGCCGTCGGTGTTGATTCCGTTGTTATCGGTGATAGCGATGGACCAGATAAGCAAGAACGCCGGAATCACTGGATCAAACAAAGGGGAAGGGTGACCGGAAAAGGACGAAACAGAATTATAGGGGAAAAGCAATGATAAACTGGAGATTATCGCAACATTGAAGAAGACAAGTTGACCATCACAAATCACAAAGAGGAAGTGGAAGGGATGTTGTTTTTCGACACCAGCTTGACGTCTTGATGGATGACGACAATCCATGGAAGGAATGGTAGAGGCCCGCTTTCCTTGTAAGCCGCCGTCCAATGACTCCACATTGTAGCCACTGAAATCGCTAAACAGGGCACTAAACCGGGCTGTCCTGCAGGGGATATTGTTAGAGATCAGTTCGTCCACGCTTCTGGAAGGTGGGGCAGCCAGCGCTTCTTTCTCGTGTCTCTCCTTCCCCGATCTCTCAACAACCACCCATCTTGAAGACAGAAGTGCCCTCGTGCCTTCCCTTGCTTCACCGAGTTGAAGGAAATGAACATGTGACCTTGCAAATTTTCTTCCCCTCGCACCAACTTTGGTTACCGATCGGTTGGTGATCCCCTCTTTTTACTAGAATATCACACTGCACACTCACCGAACCTGGGAACCGAGTATCTCCTCCAGCTTTTCGTTTTTTTGCTTGGTGTTTGACGATGATATTCTTCTTTACGACAATTTCCCTCGACTTCAATCATGACGCGCAATTCCTGACGCGTTTTGTTCGAGACCACCTAAACTGAACACAGTCGGCGCCGCAACATGCTCGAGTCGGCCGCCCGACGTTTGATCTTGTCCGGATCATTGGACATACAACCATCCACGGACCAAGACATCCGGTGTCTCCAGCGTTACACTGCCCCTTGAAGTTCGGAACCGACTAGTGCTGAGGCTCAACGCCGATCCGGTCAATCAGTCCAAAGTCCCGGAAGCCGAAAGAAAAAGAACAGCCATGAGCACGGCGTCGGCATGTCAGGCTTTCTTTCATCTTGGCGGTGCTAAGAACACGACGGCAACACAACCTCCAAGCCCGACTGTGCGATATGTTGGACAACTTCCAAGTGCCGACTGGGCACAATGGTGTGCTACTGTGGCGCCGTATCGCCGTATCTCATGACGAACACAGCGCAAGGTCAAGAGCTAGCGCCGGCATCCAAAGCGCCTCATGTTGGCGAGATGCTGTGCTGTGTTCGACCACGTATCTTGCCAGCGGATTTCTTTCGGAGCCACGCGCGTGGCGTTTTGACTTGATCAGCCACCAGATTCTAGGTATTCCGACACTCAGGGCATTGCCTGATCCAAGGTGCGAGGTTCGAGGTGGAAGGGTATCTTCACCAGTACCACGGATCAGTCGAGCGACCCTTGGCCGTATAAGACAGCTTCGATTTCACCCTTCCGTCCCGCGAGACTGGTCTCAAAAATAGAAACCCGCTCCTGAGACCCCAAACAGCCTTATCACGCCCGCTACGTCCTATCATTTCCTTGTCACGAACCCAGTTCCGAACGACACCCGCACATCTTGTTCCGATAATCCAATGTGCTGGACTGGTCAGGATGCATTTAATCTACACAAGGCAGTCAGGCTTACCCGCCCCGGTGGCTGGACCGCTTCTCGGTTTTGGACCCCTTGCCCAAGCAACGATAAGGCATGAGTTAAGGCCTAGGGGTTGTCTGAGACCGTCATCCTCCTAACATCAGGTTCTCTCAAGTGAAGACTAAATATCAAGGGCTACTTACGGGAACCCCCAAAACGTGACATGAGATCGGTGTGTTTCCACGAACGAACACGCAAAGCTCGACCTGCCCTCAATGTTCAGATTCAATCATCGCTTGCCGCTCGTGGGGGTCTTTACGAGAAAGCTCTGCGTGGCCAGAGGCGTCGGTCAATCTTGCGCCTGCATCACTCTTACATTCACGGTCAGCCGCAGGTACCAAGAACGCCATTTTGCGGCCTGACACGGTCAGTTCATCATGAAGCATCAGTATACAAGGTTCGGAACGATAATCTTCAATGTTGCTGGAGATAGATTGGCTGGCCGACGTCTGATGTCTGCAGAAACGGTACGAGTTTACGGGTCACTCCGTTTTCTCTCTGCCGTTACTCTCAACACCAAAAGTAACACTGCCTGCGGTGGCACGCATCGCAACTGGATGGCGCTACGCTTCTCGTGCAGAAGTAATGAATATTGGCGCCAGCTGGAACGTCAGTGCCCAGACTCGCCAGGCCGCAGCGAGCTGAAGACCCTCCATGCGTGTTACGGTGCCATTCGAGCCTTCGCTATCGATTCTTATCGAAAGGCACCCCCTCCAGATAGCATCGGCCAGTCGAAACTCTGTCCCTCACCTCATTCTTCACGACTTCCGAAGTCTTGCTTCATGGCGTGCGCCGCTCCTCCATCGTATGTCTCATCACATCCAGAGCCAATTTGTTTTCCCGATGATCTACACGAAGGCATATCAGCCCTAGAGTTTAGAAATGAGGGCGTCTTGGGCGTCCAAGGCACCTCAAAGATGTTCTTGTGCCAAGCTCGTATTTATTGAGGGGCAATCAAGAATATCGCAACAAACCCCCATGGTCATGGTTTCACGGCGAGAACGGACCGTGCAATCGCAACCACGTTTGGAGAAACCCACGGCGACTTCCCTGGGCAAGCCTGGGCTACAGGGATTGTGGGATCTAAACCTTAAATGGATGATCTACGCCGACCACTCCGAGGCTGGAGATAACGGCCTTTGCCATCTTTCATCGAACGACCTGTTAGGACTTGACCGGCCTTTGCATCAGCCGTGGCATATCGTCTGGAAGGACTCAAGACTGGCGGCAAGATGGTATTGGCCAATGTACCATACAGAGCCCAGGCGGCCACTACTGCTGTGAGAGTTACTCCGGCTTCTTTACGCATCAAATGGTCGGCTGTCAATAGGCCAAATCCATCAATGCTAGGCCGAACAGGTTCTGCAAGTTACACGGCATACGAGGTGTTGATATGTAGGCCATGTTCCACCACACCACGATACCCAGACTGGGCAACTGTCGACCGCTTACTGTTGGATTTAATGATGTTCTCTCCGCTCATTCACCTCTTGGCCACTTGCCGAATACTGAACCGTCCAATCAGAAGACACACATGGAACAAACCTAGGTCTCCTAAACATTCGGAATGTGAAGACGTGGTTTCTCTGACTTTCTGTTTCTGCCGCAGCCCGTTCTGAGCTTGCCTGATTCGATCCGTCAAACGGTACCCTCATAGTCCAAGAGTCAGGCTTGTCTGTGAGAGCGATGGTAGACCTTTCCGTAAACCGTCTCGCGATTTCGCTACCGTCATCCTTCTCAGCTGCCCGTTTTGGTATATGGACGAATGATGTTGGACGAAACGGCCGACTGTCGAAGTGGGTGGGTAACATTGCATAGAATGAACCGTAGACTCCAGACGTCTAGACTTCCTGCATGTCACTCTTCACGACCTCAGCTGTATCCTGACATGAGGTCTGGTCGTGTAGGATGCAGCCTTGCAGATTCGCTTATCACTCGGTGGCAGGGGAAAAACGCAAAAATAAGATGAAGGTGACGGTGGAGCAATTCTGTGGCGGTCGACATTGAGGAGTGCGGGCCACGCATCACCAGCTGCTTGGTAAAACAGGGCGGCGACATGTGAAGTTGCGGTGCAGGTTGTCAGCGCTTTATCAGTCAGAAATTCCTATCAGATGCACCACGGTTCTTCTCTGCTTGTTCATCTTGCGTCTTGGGGTCTTCCACTTTCACAACCAAGCTTACAATTGCAGATGTGCACCGGCGTCATACACATCCCCTCTTTCATCGTTCAACACTGCAGGGTGATCTCTCTGGGTTGGCCTTTCGGCAAGGTCGCCGGGCTCAATTGTTTCCTTCTAGCTATTGACTGGAGAAATAGAGACGACAATGAAGGCCTTCCGATCATACTTCACACCCACGCGGGCGGCGGTCGAGCGGGACGATGGACGGGCAACTCGTAAGAGTAACGAAGACGACAAGTTGCCCGAGCAGCAACGCGAGAAACCTTCCGGGCTAGGATCACCAGGATCACCATCGAGTCCTGCAACATACGATGGCAGTGCTGCAGTTACACCCCGTTCGATTACCCCGTCTCCAATGCCCGGGGGTATGCTCGCAGTACCAGGTACGGCTCACCATGGCTCACGGAAACAGAATGGCCGGTTGACGCCCTCTACTGCCGGCTCGACCAAGCGATCTACGGCTGGCTCCTACTCATTCCGGCATTCTATCTTTCCGGCTGGAGACGTCCGAAACAGCGATTCGGGTGTGGTGGCCAAGGTCAGAAACGACATGATGGTCAACTCGCTATTCGAGCAGATGTGTCGAAAGCAGTACAGTACAGGCGTGGATCCATACGAAGGCGTCGTGTTGAAGGAGTCACGCGGCAACTTCATCTGCTATCCACCACAAATGGCGGCTATCCCCGAATCGCTCTACGCCATGATCACGCAGATGAATGTCCGATGTGCCATGACAATCAACACACACGTTGTCCGCACAATCCTGAACGGCATCAGCAGGAGGGGAGGTGATATCAACTTTGTACCGCTGCCGGACGGTTTGCGTGTGCAGATCCTCCGCACAATGTCGGATCTGCCCAAGAGTCAACTCCATCAGTTTGCTGCATTCATTGACGACGCCAAAATTCTGGTTGTGTGGGCCGATGAGCCCGAGAAGATCCTCTCCTGGGCAGAAGACCTCGAGAAGAAGCTGATTGAGCTCATCTGGAGCACCAACAACGATGCAGATGATGAGGAAGCTGACGAGAAAGGAAATGTGACAACAAATGTGCAGGAAGTTGACGGGAATGTGTTGGAGCAGGCAAACGAGCAACGCCCGGTTAGACTGGAAAGTGCATTCATCGTGGCTCTGACTATGGCGTTGTGCGTTGCATGTCTCGGTCTCGGATGGAGAGCGCTTGCGTACGAAGCATCTGTGGACGGAACCTATATCCGATTTGCCTTGTTGGCGGTCTCGCCTATTCAGTTGTTCGTGAGCTTGGTACGCATTTCCCCGAAATTGCTTCTGTTATCGAGACAACAATCATCCCAGCCATCACACCAGATGCTAACTATCGGTATTACAGTTCTTCTTCCAAACACTCGCCGGCAATCTGTTCCAGGTCTTCGGTCCCATCAGCTCTATTGATAATAACAGCAAATACTACAGCGGGAAGCCACCCCAAAGGCTTGATCGTCACCTGCACACGCTGCCCCATGTCACCTTCCAGATGCCCGTATACAAAGAAGGTCTCGCGGCTGTTATCAAGCCTACGGTAGTCTCCGTCAAACAAGCAATCAGCACCTACGAGATGCAAGGCGGTACCGCCAACATCTTTGTCAACGACGACGGTATGCAGCTCATCAGCGATGAAGAAGCCCAAGCACGCCGCGATTTCTACGACGAACACAACATCGGATGGGTGGCACGCCCGCCCCATAACCCCAAGCCGAATCTTGAAGATGGCGAGACAGTGTTCCTTCGTCGTGGCAAGTTCAAGAAGGCCAGCAACATGAACTACGCACTCCACACCAGCAACCGTGTCGAGGAAAAGCTGAGCACAATCAACCGTATCAGTAACTGGACCAATGACCACGAAACAGCCGCCTATCAACAGTGCTTGAACGAGGTTCTGCGCGAAGACGAAGGCCGGACCTGGGCTGAAGGCAATATTCGGGTTGGCGACTACATCTTGCTGATTGACTCTGATACTCGTGTTCCGTCTGACTGTCTATTGGATGCTGTTAGCGAGATGGAGCAGAGCCCTGAGGTGGCCATTCTCCAGTTCGCTTCTGGCGTCATGAACGTTTCCGATTCGTTCTTTGAGGGAGGGTAAGTGAACTCCTGCGTTTCCCTTATTCTGTCAATATATCATGGCTAACCGTCATTCTTTGCAGTGTCACCTGGTTCACCAACCTGATCTACACAGCCATTACCTTCGCCGTTGCCTGCGGTGATTCCTGTCCCTTCGTCGGCCACAATGCCATGCTTCGCTGGCAATCCCTCCAGGACGCCGCAAGCTACGAGGAAGACGGCTACGAGAAATACTGGTCAGAGTCACACGTGTCCGAAGACTTCGACATGTCCCTGCGTCTCCAATGCGCCGGCTACTCCCTCCGCTACGCCTCCTACACCGGTGAAGGCTTCAAGGAAGGCGTCAGCTTGACCGTCTACGACGAGCTCGCCCGCTGGGAGAAGTACGCCTACGGCTGCAACGAGCTGTTGTTCCACCCCATCCGCTTCTGGGTCATCCGCGGCCCTTTCACCCCGCTGTTCCGCAAGTTCCTCGGCTCCAGCATCGCCCTGCCCAAGAAGTTGACCATTTGCGCCTACATCGGGACGTACTATGCCATCGCAGCGGCATGGAGCTTGTCGCTGATGAACTACTTTTTGACCGGCTGGTTCGAAGGGTTCTACGATAAGTATTACCTCGACTCGTTTGCCATTTACTGCTCGATCATCGTGGTGTTTACCGCTCTGGGTAACTTTTCGCTTGCCGTCCTTCGGTACCGCACGAATAAGCAGAATCTCCTTACCGGCTGTAAGTTTCCATCCTCCTCCTTATTCCTTTCCCTGCCATACCCTCCTACCCCCAATACTAACCCCTCTCCCTCACTAGTAATCGACAACCTAAAATGGATCCCCATGTTCACCATCTTCCTCGGCGGCATCTCCATCCACATCACGCAGGCTATCCTCTGCCATTTCTTCGAGATCGACATGGTGTGGGGCGCCACGGCGAAAGAAGTCGAGGAAGTCCATTTCGGCCAGGAAATCGTCCGCATCCTGAAGCGCTTCAAGTTCACTTTCTTGTACTGCTTCTTGATGACCGGTCTGATCGTCGCTGGATGGTTCTTCTTCCCCCATCCGTGGAAGATCCAGAAGCTGTATAGTGTGTATCCGCTCGCTAGCATGGCGGTTACGCACTTTACGCTGCCGGTATTGTTGAATCCTGCTTTGATGATGTTTACTTGGTAAACGGAAGGTGGTTAAGGTGATGTAGTGGGGTGGGGTGTGCAAGTGAGCAGGTGCAGTAGAGGCGAAGAGGGGAGGGGGAAGGTGGGGGATCAAAAGAGAAGTGGAAGATGCGACTGGGAAATGGGAGGAGGTGTTGGATAAAAGGTGGTTCCTTCCCAATTCACGAAGTGTCAGGCACTGCACCGGTCGCCGGTTCTCGGAAAGGAATGATGGAATGTCCCCTTGGCCAAGTGGTCAGTGGAGGTCTTAATCGTTAATCCACACGGAAACAAGGCGCACTCAAAGACTCGAGGACAAAAGTCTTGCAAAAGTAACACACAGTAGCACGTACACGTACTAGATCGTCTGTTTCTCTCTTCTTCCTTTGCGGTGTTTTGGTTAGTTGGTGGCTTTCTCCTAGCATACTGAGTACATAAACTACCTCCACCTACATATGTAATGGTCAAGGGCATACATACATAACTTGGAAACTATCAAACGGGTGAAATGGCTCATGAAGATAACAATCACAGGGGTACATGTATCTGGATGCAGTGCTTTGCTGTTTCCAACATGACATGACTGATTAAGCATCTACCATAGAAGGTATCTGCCTCGATGAGGTAATAGATCAGGTCTAGGGAATGTCGCGATCATACATAGATAGGGCAGTCGCTGCATCTTCGTTGGCCTTGCAGTTAGTTGCATAGACGGAAGGAGTGCAAGCTTTGGGGGACCGATCTTGACTGCACGGAAGGCTGCGGGGGCCAGGACGGATCGAGGCAATGTATATGTACAGGTATGTACTGGCTTGCTTAGCTGGAACTCGGAAGGGACTCCGACTCGAACCGGATCTTGATTCTTGAAGGAGTTCCAGCCGGAACCGATTCTTGGGAGGTAATTTCGAACGGCACTCACTGCATGATCGAGAGGCGAGAACGAGGAGGTACTTACATGGAAGGCAAACGTACCTACTTTGCCTACCTCACCTACCTAGTATCCAAGTCAGAAGGGAGAGCTCCGTTCATTCTCGTCCATTCCTTGCCCGTTAAGTTGCGTCCCTCTCCGTCCCGTTCCGTCCCATACCTTCCCGTCCTTAAGACACTCACATGTCCCCGGACCCACCTACCGTATAATTCAGGGCCATTCAGATTCCAGGTCAGGTTCAATCGTGCGGATTCCGTAGGGCTAAAGGTCTGCCAGTTGCATTTCGATGCATGTACCTGGCTGTAGAAGCAAATGGCACATGTATAACCCTGCGTTGCCGGCCTAACCTGGAATCTGAATGGCCCGGAATTATACAGTACTGCTGGCAGTCCGACGCCAGGACATTAGTAAGGGGCGAATGACTGAATGTAAACAAACGATGCTGGCGGGCGATGAGCAAAGGCAAGGCGTGGACACTCGGCAGGGAGAGGGTTGACAGTCACTTTTTACATGATTGATCTGTCTTAGGGATGTAGTGGTGGTAGATAGTTGAATTGACCTCTGAATAAACATGGAATAACAACAGCACTGCCGGCAAAGGCGTGTTGTGTTGCACGATCATTACCTAGGTAGTCTCTCACGTCAAACGTGCGCTCAAAGACTCAATTCAAATGCTCCAAGATAGGATAGGATAGTTGTCGTTCACTTCAAATCAAGGTAGCGTATAGAAAGGCAAGCATATAAATATATCAGCCAACTCTATTATTAAGAGTAGGTTCTCGTACGCTACTTGTAATCTAAGCAGTGTTGAATACAACATACAGAATATCGCTAATTCGTTTCCTGGAGTAGTAGTATGCTCCAGTAGTAGTCATATGCTCCTTGTACAGGTTCAGGAGATGAATTTCTGATGTGGTGCTAGGCGGTTTGGTCTCTTTTACGGTTGCAAATGGCAAGCCAACTCGGCGGGCCATTGCTCTGGTCTCCATCTACCTACTCAGGTAGTCGTTTTGGACTGCTCTTGTCTGCACTAGCCATTTACATCTAGTCGATAGAGGTGTGAGATAGACGTTGAGCGAGGAAACTGAAAGCACTTGCACATATAACCTCCACATTACTCAACAAGTTATTGGAATTGAAGCGGCGTTAATCAGCTATTTGCGGTCGAAATGTCCGTTTACCATGTAATGAAAGCCCCGTAGATCAGACTAACTGCTCCCTTCCTACCTTGGTCAAGTTGTCCAATTTGCAATCTCAAAATCCAACTCATGAGTAGGTAAGCAATCCTCATTCAAGTAGTACATCCTCCGCTGATTCGGGAAATATCCAAAGATACATTAAACGGAAAAAGCGGTGTGGTTGACTAAACCGACGCCTCCCATCTCTCGTAGCGAAGGAACTAGACCCCATTTTTCTGTCGAGGTTTGATATTTCGTGGAAGTTTCTCCGACGTATATGGCCAACTCGATGCTCCAAATTCTCCATGGATCCGCTCGTATTTGGATGATGTAAAATATTGTCCCCCATCTCCAGACTGAGCATCATTTTCGAACAACATCGGGGCCAGGTTCGACTGTCCCGATTGCCTGGATCTCTTGACAACAGAACCTAACACATCCTTTCTCCTCCAATTCTTCATTTTCTCTTGATCCCGTCTTTTCAGCCCCTCCGTAACGTGATATTTCCGACTTCCTATCGGCGGATATGGGACGTGTTTGTTATCTTGAACCCGCGCATGTCATCCATTACCGCCCGCTACCAAAGCTAAATTCCATCAGCGAATATCTCAAACCAGACTACCCCATTCCCAAACCTGGATTCCGTACATCTGTTGGCACCTCATGAAATCTCAAGTTCGCAGGGACCAAGTGGCAAAAGTGGGGTACCTGTCCAGTTCGGAGGTGCAATATCGTGAAGGAGTGTCCTGGTAGAGAAAGTAGAGAGAAGGGATGTCCGAAATGGTTCGAACTTCGAAGGCGTAGTTCAAATCGGGCTTTAACTGCCAAGACATCGATCGGCTTGGATAAGAGTTGTCAAGGTTTTCTGGTACTATCGCTTATATGCAACCACTCGATAACATGCAGTTGGAAAACTGTGACTCAACCCGAAGCTCTGGACAATGGGGGTGCTGTGTGCTTCAATGATGTCAATAAGCAGACACTGTCGGATACCGAGTCGTAAACACGTACAAAATGATGCAGTTTGCAAAAAGGAAATATGCGCTTGAGAGGGTTTGCAAGTAAAGGAGACCCGGTTACAGACACCTCTCGACACTCCCGCTCACATCTACGTCCGAATACGACGAAACAATTTACAGTCGCTGAGTTATTTTATCAGGTAATGATTTGCCTATAATATACTACTGCTAATAGACCGTTCAGGTCAGGGTCCTTCTCTTAGAATGTTTTCAGCCCCTTATGGCAAAAAGAACATCAGCAACACCGCTCGCATGCGTGCTTTTCAGTCTTCTCCCCTCAGCAACCAACACCCACCCAGCAGTATGCAAATACCATCATAGTACCTTCTCTTTCTTTGAAGTGATCTTTTGTAATCTACCTCCTCCCAGTCAGTCCCTTTGTCGAGAACCGATCTGACTATTTGATGTGACGGAAAGGGCCGCGCCAGTAGTCCATGTGAAAACCCTAAACGCCGAATAATGAAATTGCGAAAGCCAAAAAGCTGCAGACTAACAGACGCTTTGATGGAAAGATAACGGGTCGTTAAAAGATGAGCAGCTGGAACCAGATTAAATGAGCTCGGAGAGCGCCTTGTTCCGGTTGTCCTCGACAGCCTTCATAAAGGTCTCGTAAGGAGTAAGGGTTCCGAGTGCACGGCGCATATGCGCGTTAACGATCTGCAGGCCGTAGATGTAGCTGGCATTGACCCATCCGAAACTGTTCATCATGTCAGTGACTGTGTTTTTAGGAACCCATAGGAATGTCTCAAACTCACCCTTCTTTGGCAACTCCCTTGAAGTCCAACCCTTGGTTGCCATACTCGGCATCGACTCTGTGTGGGTCAATGGGCCTCGTCACATCGTACTTCTCGACTACGACGCCGTTGAAGTCCACGAACGCCTTGGTGATCATGAACAGCCACTTGTACGCAAGACGCTCGGCCTCCTCGTTGAACCCGTACCGGTACAGACCAGTCCAGGCGAGGATCTGCTGTGGCGCCCAGCCATAAGGGAAATCCCATTGACGGTTAGGGCGCTCCAAGCCAAGCTCGCCACGAGACTCCTCTGTTCCGGAAAGCAGACCACCGAAAGCCTCCAACTTGGGCAGAGCCTTGGTTACCATGGCAGCTGCCTGCTTTGGGGTGCTCACACCCGCCCACAGGGCCCAGAAAGTGGTGGCACTTTCGTAGTTGCACTGCTCGCGCTTGGCGGTGTTGTAGTCGAAGTACATGCCCGCCTGTTCGTTCCACAGGTACTTGTCGATGGCCAACCTTCTGCGCTTGGCACGACGGTCCCACATTGCCGACGTCTCGAGCTTGCTAGCACCCGGGTGGGTAGCGAGCCAGTCATCCGGCACCTCGAACTTGTCATGGAAGACGTTGCGAATGGTACGCGCGATGTCGGTCTCGTACTTGAAGAGAAGCGAGTTGAGATCGATGGTAGCTAGATCGGCGCAGATACCTTCAAAGCGGTATGTGGTATCGTGGCCGGACTCACGAACAGCTCTGTCGTGCATGAAGTAGTCGTCGAGCGTGGGCTCCTTGATATCGCCGTGGTTATAAGCGTGTACAAACTCGTCAAAGGTCATGTTGTGCTTCTTTGCGTAGGGTTCAAGAATATGGATGAAGTGACCAGCCTCAGTCTCGGGAGGGACGCCGAGACCTTCAGGGCGGTACCTCGAAAGACCAGTCACAGGGTCAAGGCGAGGCTCAGCTGTCCAGACGCTGTAATATTCCTTGATTGCGGCCAACAGAGACTGGCGAAGGAACTCAAGAGCGCCCGGCTCGTGTTTGATCTTGTCGTAGACGCGCAACGCCATATCCGTTAGGAAGGGGGGCTGGGACCGGCACAGGTAGTAGGATCGAGTGGCGTTGAGGATCTTTCCGTAGTGCTTGATGCAGAAGCAAAAGTTTTGCACCATGGACTTGGCCAGATCGACCTTGTCGTTGACCAGCAAGCCAAGAGACTCCATGTAGCTGTCCCATCCGTAGAGCTCGTTGAAGCGACCTCCAGGCACAACGAAAGGACGGCCGCGGAGAGTCTTCTCGCCGGTCTTGGGATCCACTACTTCTTCCATGTCTACGGCTAGGAGACCAGGCTTGGAGTTCATATCGCGAACGATCTCGGGGGTGATCTTCTCGGGAAGATATAGAACATCCAGGCGAAGCTCAGGTCTGTCCAGGGCAACCTTCGTATAGTACGCGTGCTGCTCCGGTGCTCCTCTGGGAATGTAGATGCGGGGTCGGGGATCGTCGGTCCAGTCCTTGGGGTCACGCGCCGCTATTTCGATGCTGGACGCATCGATTCGGCGGGTCAGGCCCTCCCAGAAATGGTCTTTGATGAGTCGCGATAGTCGGTTCACGGGGTTCTCGTTGAGTCTGGCCTCATCGAGAATGATCTGCTTACGACCGTATTCCTTGGCGAGGGAAAGCTCCTGAAGAAGGTTGGAGAGCATGTAGGTGCCACGGATGTCGAAGCGGTTGTATCCGTTGGACGCAGCGGTTCGGAGAGACAGGACCTGAGGGTTACACCAAGTTAGCGCTGTGTAATACCTACCGCGACTTCCAACCCCTTGGTGGCGTTTCCCCGTACCTTTGGTCCGTTGTCCTCAATGGTAATCTGCATGTTGCCATCCGTGTCCTCTTGCGATTGCAGACTTTGTAGTGTCGGCTCGACCTGGATAAGGAAGCGGCGGGAGTGGGGGATCGTAGACTCGTCTGTCCAACATCATTATCAGCGTGTGTTTCGCACGGAATCGCTAGCTGGCAAGCGGTTATCTTCGTACCATGGCTGCCTCTGCGGTAGGGCTCCTTCTGAAGGCCTAGACGTTCAAACTGCTTGAACAAGCTGTTCTATAGGTGGTGTCAGTAGATGCTCGATAAGCCATGACAATCTGCTTGCAGGATGCATACCTGGGAGTAGGTACGGGTTCTGGCGCCAGCGCGGTAGTTATGGTGGCGGTCTTCCGTTGTATAGTATGTCTTCGCATCGTCATAGACATTGTAGTCGTCGATCGAGAGGTTGCGGCCCCGGCCTTTGCCCTGCGGGGACGTGGGGGCTGACATTGTGGTTGCCTCCTGAGTCTTGCTTGTGTCGAGATACGGAACTGTCAAGACGGACGGATTCGATGTTCGAGGATACCTTTGCGCGGAGGGAGAGAGAGAAAAAGATGGGGCTTTGTAATCGGTAGACAAAGTCGTCGTTTGGTTTGATGGGTGCTCGATGGAATCAGTTGGGCTTTGGGAACAGCCAATCCTTTTTCTTTAGGTGAGCCGATTTGTTGTTAGGTGAGGTTGGCAAAGGAGGAGGGGAGGGCAGGCAGGACAGGGTGGGCCACGAAGTGACGCTACGTCAGGTCTCCAGGAGGTGTTGGGGTCAGGCTAAGGTACTGCCTAAGGTAGCTCTGCAGCAAAGAAGGAAAAAGCGGGACGGCTCCCTTTGGGTTGCGGTTCCAGGTGCTGCCGCCGTTGCTCGCTCAAAAGAACCAAGAAGAACCAAATGGCCGTTTTTTATATCGAAGGGAGGTATCAACTTATGATATATAGGGAAATTGAATTATGGGGATGGCTTGTCTCACTTTATTAGGTGACATATGTTGTATGGAGGGTTGAGATGGATTCTGTCTGGCTGGTTCCGTCCGGGACTGTGATGGATGGATGGCGGGCGGCGGTTGAGGCGGGTAGCAGTAGCAGATAGCGGATGCTTGTCTTGGGTCGTGCTTTTGCAGTGCAGACACACACCTTTTTCAGTGCAAAAAGACGGGACGGGAAGCTCTGTCTGTGTTTCTGGTACAGTGGCCCAGGTTGGGAAGTGGCAGGCAGCTATTGTTGTTAGGAAGGAAATTGGAACCACGGCGCCCACTCCAGCGATGCGGTCACGCGGACCCATAATGCGGTGGGGGAGAGACCAGGGTTATGGCACTGGGACCATACACAACCCTGACAACCCTTGACAGAACCCTGGCAATGGAAAGCGGGATGTGCACGGGTGGGCAGGTAGGTACTTTGAGACAAGGTACCGGGTTCTCCAGAACGGTGATGGAAACATGGATTGTTGATGGATGGAAGCACGAGCGAAGCACGAGGAGGCGGAAGAGGAGGCTGGGGTTCACCCAGCTGGAATGAAATGTATTCATGGCCAGAAGTATTGGTCTGTGGAAATGACCTGAGACGAAACCACAAACGAGTTCCATCCTTTTCACGTTTCCTTTTTCCGTTCTTGTCCTTTGATAGCCGACACCGATGTGAACGTGAAGGGCTGAAGGTATCGGAGTTTAATCCTAATAGTCTCGAGCCAGGATGACAGCAAGAAGGTAACTGGTACCTTTTCTTAGCTAGGTCACCCGATGCAATCTACTTCAGGGTCCAGCTGTGTATGATTGTTTATGATTTTCCTCCGCTCTTTTATAAGGTTGGCGAAAACAAAAAATGAACGACGTTATGAGGCTCAGATGGCTGACCCTTTTGAAGGATGTTCCAAACGGTTTTTTTTGGTTTTGCAGGAATCAGTCTTGAAAGGTTCATTCGTTCTTGTTGTGAGTGAATGCAAGCTTTTTCTCAAGAATCCAAATCCAGCAATCACAGCGTCGCAACACTTGCCCCTCCTCTGCCCTCCCTGCTCGGCAGTTCCAATCAGATCGGCCGACGATGGTGGGGACCCTTGAAGGACTGCTGTGGCAAAACATCATTTGACAAAGTCCATCCACAAACTCTCACACATCCATACGGAAGGGTCCTTGGGGCTCTGTGCGAAGGCCTGTGAGCTTCTGTGAGCCCTCCTGATGGTGTTGAGGTTCGTCAAGAATTTTATCTCCAGACATTACCATTCGTCAATCCAGGATCTTCGCCTGAAGCAATTGGCCAACGGGCAAACGGTTGTGTTCAAGCCTCCCACCCTCCTCTACCGAGTACGTATCTTGGTCTGTGAGCGGGGACACTGACAAGATGTTGTAAGTTCTTGAACAAAGGACAGCTTTTCATGTGGTCCAACTTTACTATCCCCGGTAGAAATATCAGCAACGAGCCACGAGTAAACAACCGCAACCCAAGCTCTTTCTTTCTCTCAAATCCGTTGGCCAAATCCGAAACAACAAATGTCGTCGCGCCCAGAAGCTTCCTTCACTATGGTTCGCAGTGGAGGACTATAGCACCCGGGCCGAATTGCGGTGGGCTCGCCAATGACAAAAAGGCTGAGACCTTGCTCCCAACAACGCACACCGAACAAGGTCTCAACGTTTTTGTCACTCCGCCAAGACGACGATGGAATCGATGATGGAGCAGAAAGCTTAACTGGTCCATGAGGGTCCCACCATGACGACGTTTCTACAGTCAGTATCTGCAGGTCGATAGCGGTAACAGTCTTGTGAGACAGCAGAGACAGTAGCATTCGGGCGGCAACGGAGACGACGACGACGACCTCGGGAAGATCATTTTGTTTTCTAACATGATAATAACCGACTGGGTGTTCTCCGGCGACAACGGCGTCACCAGTGTGTTGGTATGAGAGTGCCTTTGTAGTGTAGAAAGTGCTGCCCGTGGCGTTGCCAAGCAACTGGAGTCCCGATTGTACAGAAAATCGCACTTCAACCTGTTTTCACGTCTCATGAACCGAGCAATTCTTTGTACGTGTTTCAACCACCATGATCATCCCAAGTTCCCACAACCCAAAATAGGTCAACACTCTCACCCAGACTCATCACATCCCCAACCCAAACGGGGATCAAATTCACAAAGTCATACGAAAAAAGTATCTTGAGGTCCCGTGCCCATCCTCCATGCGGCAATAAGCGAAAGGAAGATGCAAGTCTGGGGCGCTGGCACACATACCGGTACCCGGATCCCCCGATTCCCCAAAGTTCGTGATGGGCGTGGGTGTGGGATATAGCGTGGGGTGACACACACCTCGACACACACACACACACACACATCTCGTAAGCTTGAAGCTGTTGTCGATTTACTCAAAGGGGAATTTGACGAGAAGCCCGACGTTGTAGAAGGTCCGAGTTCGGTTGACGTCCGACTTCACCTCCAGTAACGGGATCTGGTTTGTGTTCTGGGGATTGTATGCTTATCCCGATTTCAATACAGCTGACTTCGATACACGAGGTCAAAAAAGTCAACAAAAAAAGAGAGAAAAAAGACGGACAGATATCATACAATGTATGTGGGCGGCACATCAGCAATTCTGAAACAGCTTTCATCATGAATAGCCATAGCGATTTCAACCCAAGATATTTGACATATGTAAACGGCCATGGTGGTTGCTACTAAAGACCCTATGCTATTGGGTATGCATTGCAACAGAACTGAAACCCGAGATTCCCGCCCAAATGCTACTGTATCAAAGGAATGACAATTCATAGTGTAGGTACATTACATATCTCGGACAACTAAATGCTTGGCTCGTATACTTGGTGGTCTAGAACACAAGACGCCTAATCCATTTTCCATACCTGATCCCAACAACCAGACCACCGGTACCGAGCATCCCGGAGAACCTCCCATTCGAAGAGCCTCTCATGCAACCATCACCCCAACCACGCACCATCCAACTGACCGCCATTTTGTTCTTTTTTTCGAGACATTCTACTTTCCCCAAGCCAACTCCCCCGGATCCTCCCACTTGATCGGATGCACCAACATACTTCTCAAACACATCCTCCCTGTCCCCTCTTCCTCTTCCTTCCTGCCACCCCTGAGTCTACCTCCGGTCTCTCCACTTCCCGTCGCCTTCTCTCCCTTCTCCCCTCCTGCCGGCCCTTCCACCTGCGCATACCCTAGCCACCGTCTCCACAAAGTACCGGCAAACTGCGCATCATAATACCACGTGCTCCCCTTATGATGGTACTCATTCTGGTACTGATACGGACTTCCTTTTCCACTAGTCGTATGATCTCTACCACCGTTGAAGGTCTTGTCGATGGTTTCGAGGTCCCATTGTCGGTCGAGGGACACTGGGTGCGGGGCGTACACGGCTTTAAGACCGTAGTGTAGGGCCATAGTTGTGGGGAACATTTCGGTGAACATGGCGTGGTGGAAGCGGTAGGTTTCTTCGTGCATCACGTTCAGGAGACGGCGGGAAAGGCGGGATGCGGTAATGATGGAGGCACGCCGGGGCGGGGGAGGATGAGAGCGGTCGTAGCCGGTTATGTCGAGGTGAAAAACCCAGCCAGAGGAATCGGCGTCGAAAATGGGGTTGAGGGTGATTAGGTCAGCGTCTTCGTCGATGCCGCAGGAGGTAAGGTCTTCGGCGGCATCGGTTGTAGCAGTGGTGGTGGTGGTGGTGGTGGTGGCTTCAAGGTCATCGTCAGGAGAGCCGGCTCGAGGTGGGCGGTGGTGATGATGACGCTGATGTGCTTGTGCTTTTGGGTGGCGTTGTGGATATGGACGCGGATTCACAAAAGTGACAGCGTCCTTGGGGCAGGTTGGAGGAAGGAAGGATACGCTGCGCTTTTCGGACCGTAGGTTCAAGTGCCCGGGAAAGTGGACGGGACCCATGACTGGGCGACGGCCACTCGCAACAGTCTGGTTGTGAACAAGTCGGGTAAAGTTGTCCCAGCTGCCGTGGTAATGCGGAATGTAGTACCGCTCTGAACGCTCCCACATCTCGTGGCGAGACTGCTTCTTGGCCCAGGTGCCGAGACGGTCAAAGAGCTCGTAGTAGTTGCCTATCCACCGCATGTCCATCTCCCAGTTCCAGAAGTGGTCATACTCGGGGTGTTCCTGGGCAAAGTGCTGGAGCGGGAAATGAGCGCTGCGGTAGACGCCGTGGATGTCGCTGAAGCTTGGGTTGGTGAACGACCGAGCGAACCGACCGGGATAGTACAGACGCATCTGGTCTTCTGACCACAGCGTACAGAGACCGTGGAATTCCGGGGGCACGTTGTCATCCAACACCTTTTGGACAGCCTTTGGATCTGCCCAGATTGGCTCGTCATTGTCCCGGACATGAAGGAGGAAGTGCACCGTATACTCGCCTCCTGATTGTAGCGAAACTTCGGAGATCATTGCACGGAAGTTGAGGACTGCGTGTTCCGTCCAGGGAAAGCCGATATACAACCGCACTACAATCGCCGTGCGGGCAATCTTTTTGCGCTGATGTTGCTGGAAGACTTGCTTCTGACCTTTCACCATTCTCTCTGTTGGAGTAGTCGTTGTGCTATTGGGAGGTTCAAGGAACCGCTCCTTGTTGGCTTCAAGGCATCGGGTCTGAGCATCACCCCAGTCGACAGTGCTGTAGTCAATCTTGCCCGTCTTGGCCCACACAATGTCGCTTCCATTCTTCTCGGTATCCATTCCCACGTCGAGGCCGCCATTGTCATAGCTGTAGCCCAGACCATAGGGTCCATACCTGCCGAACCTGTCGAAGCAAACATCGTCCCTTAAGCTGAAGAGCTTGTGTGAACCTATGACAGGCTCCGGTAATCCCTGTGGAAGGCCGTTGTACGCGAGGACATTGGGGACAGGTATTGTTTCCTTCTTGTCGAGGTAGCATGGCTTGACATCGTGATAGTTACTCGCGTATTGGGATGACCTGTAGTCTGGTTGTGGGACGTACGGCGTAGGAGTGGGTGTTCTTGAGAAGGTGACCGTAAGGGGCGGGGTATCCTGCTGATCACTCATGCCTGGGTATTCCGGCTTATGGTCTTTGACTGGTACCAATGTTTTTACCCCATTGAAGAAGCCATCAAGGCTAAGTATGTTAGAGATGGATGCGAAATTGGGGACAAAGCACTGGCGTTTTCACTTACCGTTTGAAACGCAGCCATTGAGGTGACTTTGCTTGCTCCTTCATCTTGCTTTTTTCGTACGCGTCTGCTAGCAAGAACATGAATGTGGCTGCATTCTCTGCCTCATCGAGGTGGTCTTCTGTTTGCGTTTCTACCCAGGTTCGGTTTTGGGCTTTGACATAGGGGGCTTTGCCATCGGTTATGGAGACACCTCTCTTCGAGAGGGTTATTGCCGAGAGAGTAAGTATTGCGACAGTCCATAGTATCACCCTTCGGTATAAACAGTGACTGATGAGTGTCCGTACTTGAACTCGCTGCTTCTTGCAAGCCACGAAAGGGAGGAGAGGTTTCTCCTTCGCTGTAGATTTAAGGCCGGATGACGGCTTGGATGTCCGGATCATGAAGAAAACAGAGATGGACCAACGGAATGGCCCTTGCAAGTGATCAGGGGCAACGATGCGATCTAAGCCAGAGGACTCTGGATAAAAACAAACAATCCTGTGATCATGCAAGTTGAAACCCGGGTTCAATCAGGCGGTATAAGGAAGCTTTGGAAGCACCAAGAAAGTATCTTGAAAAGGAAAAGAGGAACACATTGAGACATGACATGAAGAGGTCAGTAAAAGAAAACAAAAGGGGTTCCGTATGTACACTTTACTGACAATGTGGATGGATCTGATCATGCTTGAACTTGTAAAGCTCTCTCATGAGAAATGTGCCATATTGATCGGTCTTCGCCGGACCATCTGGTATCATAGCCCGGCGGTGCAGGCACAAGACGTGACATGGTTGCAGAAAACTAAAGCAAAGCACTTCCTTCGGCTTGTGAACAAGGCTCGCTCGATTTTTTGCATTCTGCGGGGGCGTATCGGTTCTTAGCTCTTCTCACTAGGGCCTGGAGAAAATGGAGCTGACATGGCGATTCTTTTCAGGTGGGACGGGGAGCCTTCCGGGGATGAGAGTAGTTTGGAAATACGGCTGGTGTTGAGGATGTCTAGTGACCCGGGCCGCCATGTTTCTCTTGGAGTAAGAATATTTGAGAGTAGTGTCTGTTGAAAACTCTTCAGAGTTTGGAGTCGGGTCTGGACCACGGGCACAGTAAAGGAGACCCGACGGTCTGTCTCTCGGGTCAGGACGTGATTTAGAAAGGAAGAGAGGATGAAAGGCTAAGGAAATTGTCTAGAAGCGTTGACAATGGAGCTACCGGGTCATGGATGCTAGTCAAACGACGGGTCATTGGGGAGACGAGCTAAGCTCTTGTGAAGGACTTCTCTACGCGAGATGTTAAGAGTGTCGAATTGCGCGATACGTGCGGTTTCAATGCTGAGAAAACGGGGCCGCGATGCCAACACTGGCACACTTTGTGCGCAATCAGGTCGAGTTCGCCCAAAAACGAGGTTATTGGAAGGATCCAGCCAAGGAGTCGCGATAGAATTTCGAGGTCTTCTGCCCAGAGTTTTCGGTTTGTATGGACCCGTTAGCGCCTGCTAGAGAATGTTGGTGTTTTGCACTACGTTAGTGTGTAGCTCTTAGTAAAACCAACCGGTCCCCAACAGTGAAGCCTTCACTGTGAAGGCGCGTTCAAGAGGAAACGAACTCCTTCCCCGCACGACTCCTCCCACTTTGTCGTGATTTCCATTTTAATCCCACAACGTCACCTCTCCATATTTCCATTTCTCCCTTTCTTGCGCTTTGTGCTCGCAATCGTTCGTTCGTGACTTCCGTCGCAAATGGTCATCGGATATCCGTCGGGCCCGACGACTAGGCAGCCGAAGCGCGATCGCACCCCTTCCCAGTCTCATGATTTTCCCGCCACTGCCCGTTCCTGTTGCCGCATGCACTCTTTAGACGTGCGTTGAATGCAATGAACGCTTCGAATCGTGGCAGTGCCCCGAATCGACGGATTTACACACGACTCCCTGCATGGACGCATCCTCGATTCGCAAGTTTGGCGGTCTTCCCAGCCACAACGTCGCAAAGCGAGCTCAACGAACTGCTCCTCACCACCACAAGAAACGAGTGTCTTCACAGGCGCCTATCACCCCATCCAGCATCAACCTGCGCAAGGACCAAGTGGGCAGATGGGTAGGAAGATTATCATGTATCTCTATTATCTAATTATCGACATGTACGCCGTATGGTTGGTATCCTGAAGAAAAAAACAAGAAGCAGTTGCTGCGGTTGTTCGCTGGCCGTCGTTCGATATTCCCTCCTTCACTTCCTCCAAGCTTTCATTAACCACAGAACTCCATTCCTTAACGACAACCGTCCTTCGAAGACGGTGGGGCATCAAAGGCTCATCCCCCTCACTCCACCACTCTGGGCTTCCGAGTCATCCCCCGTGGTCGTGCCATAGTCCTCCTTCCCGCTCACATCAACCTTCTTCATCTCATCCCTCAACAACACCGCCGGATCAAACACCAAAAAGATGCCCGCCGAAACGACCATCAACGCCGCATCCAATCCGATGAAGTATCCCTCGTGGGTAATCAGATACCCACTCCACCCCTGCGCCAGCTCAACCGTGCGGTACACGCTCCTGATATAAATCATGACGAACGACACGAACAGCGCCAGCACAGTGAGCTTCATGTTCCTCGTCAGTCCTCCCTGTCCACCAATCCGCCCCTTGGCCAGCTTATACACCCTCCTCAAAAAATCCAGCACCAGTACAGCGAACACGGTCATGGTGAACAGCTGGAACACGATGCCCGCCACCATGGTGTGCGTGCCTGGCTTGGTGTCACCTCCTTCCTTGTCGGACTCGCCCGCAGCCATGCCACCGCCGACGGCCTGGATGACGAGCGAGATGACGTCGCACGTGCAGAAGACAATGGCGTACCATTTGGCCGAGAGGATACTGGTCTGGCGACCCAAAAGGCGGATGAGCATGCCGAGCAGGACGTAGAGGGCAGCGGCGAAGAAGGTCGGGGCGATGATGAGGGTGGTGATTTGCATGAGGAAGGCGTCGTTGTTGTAGGGGCACTTGGCGGACCATGTGCGGCCTGCCCAACCTATTGCTTCGGCTGTTTGAGAGAAGAAGTGTTAGTTTGGGGTCTTTGTCCGAGTCTAAGTAAGTGTTGTTGACAGATGGGGACCTGAGGGTTGTGGATGATATGCAGGTACCGGTGGGACATGATCCACCACGACGGGAAGGCACTGACAGCAGCCCAATTTTACATGACATGTGTAAGTGCAGTGATGAATGACGACAGAAATAACCATAAAGAAAAGAGAGGATAATACGCACTAATAGCTCCAACCATCATCAACCCCGAAGTCCACCGCCGAAACCTAATCAGCTGGATGAGGTGACCGATGATACAGATGCCAAAGAGAACGTCAAAGGCAATGCCGGCTCCCAGCGTTGGTCGGTACCCGTAACTGGGATCAACACCATCGATCAGGTCCGGATAACATCCCTTGCGGAGGTCCATCCATGCCGCCCATAGGTCCGGAGTGATGCCATCCGGAATGTCGACCCCGGATACGTTATCGGAGCTCATCCTTCTGTTGTTGTTGTTGTTTTTGTTTTTGTTGTTGTTGTTGTTGTTGTTGTGTCCGGGATCTCCCTTATCGGAGGACGGTACGACGGGGGAGTACGGAGTCACGGATAGATGTGGGTTGATGCTATGCAGGTAGGTGTGGGTATTAAAGACCTGCTTTTTGGTGTCCTCTTTTTGAGGTGGAAAAGATAAGATGGTAAAAAAGAGCAAAAAGTGAATGTCAACAAGACACAATGGCGATTTTGCAAGAAAAACTGGTGGAATTCGGTGTGCTTGCCGTCGAGAAAGAAACCCGAAAAATTGTGGGTAAGGCCGATCCCGAGATATCCGGGAATCCCTGGGTGAGACTGAATAAACTTTGCTTCTGATGACAAAACAAGAAACAAGACCCCGAGTAAAGCGCGGCCGACGGCATTCCTATAAACTTTTTTCACAATCCCACGAAACTCGAAAACCTTCTCATGAGATATCACATACGCGTACACTTCGAGGCTCAGACTGATGCTCGCTTTTTCTCACACCATCCATCTCCATCTCGGACTCAACACTGGAAAGTTCTCTTTGCGCTGACAAGTGACAAGAGGGTGAGATCCCTGGTCAGGTCGGTACTACGGCTTTTTCAATTTCGCGCCCTGTACATAAGGTACCTACTGTGATAGTGTATCCATTCAGAAACTTTGACTTCTGTAAGTGTAAAAGTGTAAGTGACGCATACCATGGCTTGCAATCAGCCTGCCAGCTTCGCCCAACCAACACACCGAACGGAAACGGAACGAAGGAAAACCAACGGACCCCGGTCCATGAACCTAAACTTGCCGGATGGAGCCGACTTCATCCAATGAGGTTCGAGGGATATGAGACAAGGGTCCGAAGAGACCTGGTAACGTCACGACTTCCCTTCCAACCTTACGACCAACAACAACAATTGAATTCTTTGAAACTCGGTATCTCCCATAGTACATAGTACATAGAACATACTACATACATAGGGCTTTGAGCAGCAAGACTCGGAGGCTTAGTCTAGATGGAAGATTCCGACTAGCCTCGGATTGCACGCACGAAATGAAGATGGGATAGGGTAAGAAACGACCCCAAGCCAAAACAACAACAAAAAACGGAACAACTCCTCGGCGATGCAGGGCGTCCACGTCCACGTCCGCGCCGCGCCCGTCCGCCCGACTTGTCAGCGTCAGCTTCTGGAATGCTGGAGTGCTGGGCTGCTGGGCTTTCAGTGGTACTGGTGGGCAGTGTGAGTGAGTTGATGAGCCGCCCGCCTGTCGCGATACGCAGCAACGTGGCTGGCGGGCGGGCGGTCGATGGAGGAATCAATTCCCCCGATTCGTGAAGTACGTATATACACGTAGTCAACTGAAATCTCGGATATGGAAAGATAATTGTTGTGTTGAGCTGTGCTATCAAGAGACCGAGGTGGGCTTTGCGCAGTGATGGACTGACGGGACCGGACGGATAGTGGATCCGGACGGAGGCTCAGAGGGTTGGTTTCATGGTTTCAGGTACAGGACGGTACGATGCGATCTGATAGTCCGAGCTGCTTGTACGTGTAGTGCATGTTCCTGGCGATGAAGTTTGGCCTCGAGCTTTCATAAATCTACTGGTGTTGCACTCTGCTGTGAAGATATCTCGAGGGAATAAAAAGTATAGGGCTCAAGCAGATTAGTAGTCTCCTATGACCGTGACGACCTCAACCATTAGGCCAGAATCCCCTCATTCAATCAGGTAGAAGCCGGCACGCAAGCAGTAACTCGGGCATTCCATTCTACCGCACCTGTTTTTTGATCCAAAGTCTACTGGATACGTAGACAAATTCGAGAAACAGGCTTCAAAACAAACCTGACTGCGCCGAGTCCATGTCCCGCTGTCAAATCCACCTACCCATAGCTCCCTACCCGTGTAGACTCCCATAGGCACGTCTAGAAAGGGCAGAGCGCAGGTTGTAAGCTGTAAGCCTACCTTAGCCGAATCTGACGGGCGCAAAGCGCCAACGGGGCACGGAAATGGAATCCGACAGAGCCTGACTGATTGGGCGAACTGAGGGCTTTGAAGTTTGGGTACGCGTACGCGTGTTTCGTTTCGTTGGGCTGTTTTATGGTTGTCCATTCATCGTGCGTGAGATGAAGAAGGGTTCATTTTGGTTGTAGAGTGCGATGGTGGCTGTGTACTTGTAGTGTAGGAAGTTTGGGTGTCGAAGGTTGAGGTTGGTTGTGGAGTGAATTGAATCTTGTTTGGTTCGTTGCTGGTTGGCTGGGTGCGTGCGGGAAGTTTGGTTCAGGAGGTTACCGCACTTTTTGTCGGGGGACTCAGTGTGGTAAAGACTATAAGCTCTAGGTTTGTTAAGATTATTCAACAATGGCCGTTTGGCGCAACGGTAGCGCGTTACTTTCCGGTGGTAAAGGCTCTGGGTTCGAGTCCCAGGATGGTCGACTTACTATTTTGCTTTTTTCCTCTTATAACATCGGGCATCTTTTGTTTTTCTCTTTTTTACTCTACTAATAATTTTTGTTCGGATTCCTCTTTATCTTTTTAATTCTCAATCTGCTTGCCGAAGTAGGTTTTCAGACACAACTGTGCTGATCCTAACATTTCACGTCGCAACTCTCTTTATACTTCCTTGTTTATCATTGCATACCAACTTGAACTTGGGTAACCAAAGCCACCAAAACTTGAGAGAGCAACATGATATAAGTCCGTCAACCTTTTACCCAAACCTTTTCATAGACCGCCAGGGGGGATTTTTGACCGATAGATGTTATCCAACTTTACTCCTTCGGTTCACGTGGGAGTGGCACCGGCAGCAGTGCCGCTCTATTGTTGTCATTTGACTTTTTGTGTCCCTTTGTTCGGAACTCACAACCGGTTGCAACGTCAAGTACCTTGTGTCATTCACTAGCTTGATATTCCACAGTTCGATTCCAGATCACCATTTTCATGACACCTTCATCAACACCGGTTACCTACAACCTCAATCAATCGTCCAGTGGGATAGAAGAAATCCAACCAATATCATCAGCAGCACACTTCCCCATCTTTGGTGTCCCGCCTCTACAAGCCGTGGTATGTAGCACATGCCACAGCAGCAGACGATCAGCCATCCCGTGATGAGATCGAAATGCACAAGTATTCAGAAACGTTGGTAGCACAAGGCTGGTGAACCATGTTTTCGGGTCGAGTCCCGGGAGATGGCGCTTCGGCTGTTGATCTTTTGGCTTCGATGTTTCAAACCCTCAACCCTCAAGCTCACGTTTCCATATCAACAATGCCCCCCGAGGAAATAATGCTAACACGGAGCTCCCTGATAGGGCTAGGCCGAGTATCGGCGTCAGTGCGGAAGCTAAAGGCGCCAGGGGAAGAAGTGACGCTTCGCTAACCGCACACCTGGCATCGACCAATGGATAAGAACCGTTGACTGACCGATAAGAGAATTCGGGTGGGTTTGCCCCGCATTTTAGTCGAGGCGGGCCAGTACGACTCCACTAAAACTTTTTCTTCCCCCTCGTGCGCCGGCTGGCTGCGGTGCCCCTCCTTGGCAACAGTGGGCGGTCGGGACCTTTGCATGGAATTCCGTGTCTTCACTTGGTCTGCAGTGGCCAGCATCTCCCAGCATCTTTAAACCTCCAACCCCAGAAGAAGATGGATCCGACGTCTCCAGACGACTCCCCTCTCTCCGCTTGCCACCCTTGATCTCTGAGGATCGTCTGTGGTTGATCGCAAGTTCGCAGTGTTAGACCATCGCATCATCTTATTACTCACGCCCCGTCGCCGGCATCAGCTGGTAGTCTAACAAGAACCCCGAAACGAACTGAAAAGCGACTTCGGCGGCTCATCGATAACGAATTAGTCTTGTATTTTTTTTATTTTTTTTATCTTCAGCCGCGAACCGAGTCCCATCCCATCTCTCGGCGCCCACCCCGATACTTTGTCAACCACGGAAGGACCACACGGGTCAAGGTCCTAATCTCGATATCCACTTTAGAGTCATACCCTCGCGGCCCCGTTTCATCATCCGGCCAGCTTCGACTCCCACCACCACCCACGACCCGACTTCCATCGTATCCCTCCATCCGACCGTCGAGCCGATTATACAGCCTTTTTACGTATTGTTTGTCACATCATTCGATCCAGCAAAATGTGCGGTATTCTCGCCCTTATCCTCGCGGATACCGATGCGTCGGACGCCTCTGCCGACTTGCACGAGAGTTTGTACTATCTCCAACATCGCGGTCAAGATGCCTGTGGTATCGCGACCTGTGGCTCTGGAGGCAGAATCTTCCAGTGCAAGGGCAATGGCATGGCCTCCAAGGTCTTTGACGACGGCAAGCGCACGGTAGACCTTCCCGGCTACATGGGCATTGCTCATCTTCGTTACCCGACTGCCGGAACGAGTTCTGTAAGTCTCCGTTGCCTCTCCTTCAACCCGGCGTTTTGGTCCCAAGGGCCGAGCCACTTCCTATGCACTTCGCCCATTCAGTCTGCAAGTGTGATATCATCAGAGACCCTGCATATCCTCAACATCCATCCTTCGTCCATATGTCTTCTGGGTCAAGATTGGCTAATGAGTCACCCTTAGAGCGCCGAAAGCCAGCCTTTCTACGTCAACTCGCCCTACGGCATCTGCTTCGCGCACAACGGTAACCTCATCAACGCTCCCGCCCTGCGCAGATATCTCGATAAAGAGGCCCATCGTCATGTGAACACCGACTCCGACAGCGAGCTGATGCTCAACGTCTTTGCCAACGCCCTGAACGAGACTGGCAAAGCTCGTGTCAACACCAACGACATCTTCATTGCCCTCAGGAAGACGTACGAGAGGTGCCAAGGTGGCTGGGCCGTCACTGCCATGATTGCTGGCTTCGGAATCCTGGCTTTCCGTGACGAATACGGTATCCGCCCCCTCATCATGGGATCCCGTCCATCTACCACTCTCAAAGGTGGTATCGACTACATGTTCGCTTCCGAGAGCATTGCTCTCCGTCAGCTGGGCTTCGGCAACTTCAAGGATATTCTCCCGGGACAAGCTGTGTTTATCCAGAAGAATGGGCAGCCTCAGTTCCACCAGGTTGTTGAGCAGAAAGCTTATGCTCCGGACATCTTCGAGTATGTTTACTTCGCCCGCCCGGATACCATCATGGATGGAATCTCTGTGCACCGCAGCAGACAGAACATGGGCGAGAAGCTTGCCCACAAGGTCAAGGAGATTCTCGGAGAGGAGGGTGTCAAGGAGATCGATGTGATCATCCCTGTCCCGGAGACCAGTAATACTGCTGCTGCCGTGGTATCGGAGCAGCTTCGGAAGCCCTTCTCCAACGGCTTCGTAAAGAACCGTTACGTCTACCGTACCTTCATCTTGCCCGGCCAGAAGGCCAGGCAAAAGAGCGTCCGGAGAAAGCTCAGCGCCATGGAGTCCGAGTTCAAGGACCGTGTCGTCCTGCTGGTGGATGATTCCATTGTGCGCGGCACTACCAGTAGGGAGATTGTGAGCATGGCTCGTGAGGCCGGTGCCCGCAAGGTCATCTTTGCCAGCTGCGCTCCTCCCATCATCTACCCCCACATTGTATGTCTCCAAGTCCTTTCGCAAAACAGTTACCAGAACTAACGCCTTTCCAGTACGGTATCGATCTCGCTTCGCCGCAGGAGCTTATCGCCCACGAGAAGACTAGAACCGATATCGCCAAGCACATCAATGCCGACGATGTTATCTACCAGGACCTTGACGACCTTAAGGCGGCGTGTACCGAAGCCTCTCCCGATCACCAGAAGATCACCGACTTCGAAGTTGGTGTGTTCTGCGGCAACTACCAGACGGACATTCCTGAGGGTTATTTCGACCACTTGAACGAGAGCCGTGGCACGAAGCGGAAGGCCACTGTCGTGAACGGCACCAGCAAGGTCTTGGTCGCCAATGGCGGCCCGGTCAATGTAAGTCGTCCGCAATGATAGACTACGCAGGTGATGTAGCCGTTAACATTTTTTAAGGTTTCTACCCCTGAGCCCGCTGCGCTCACGGAGAACCCCGAGAACAGGCAGGATATCAGGTATGCTTCTGTTGTTATTGACTACGATGATGCTGTCTGCTAACATAAGCGATCACAGCATCCACAACATTGCCAACGCCTAGTAGACGATTGGCAATTTACGGAACGCATGTCCACCCCTGATTGGTACGGAACACTCGTAGCTAAGCGACCACTGTTCGATACATGTGCAGCGTAAACGTTGATTCTTCACGCTCGAGAATTTGTGGCACATGGCGCCTTATATGAGAGTATGAGTACAAGCGTCTTTGGACGATGATGATTTTTATATGGCATGATAGACGTTGGGCAGGATGTTTTGTTTACTCATGCTCGCACACAAACAAAAATTGCAGATAGATGGATAATTACGGAGGAGGGTCGTTCGGAGTTCTTTTGCTTGTACTTAGGAGGCATCATGCCGGATGGCACGATAAGCCTGCCCACCCCAAAAACATGTTGTTTCGTTTTTATTCGTCAGTTGAGAGTTTCCTGTCGAAATAACAGTCGCCTTGGGAGGAGTCCTGCAACATCACAACATGTTGGAGTAGCGAGATAGATACAATAGAGGTAGTATAGACAAGTTTTGTGGCAATAGCGATTACTAGCCTCATGGTGTTACGGTGACCCGACATTCTAATGACCATGCCTTCTGCTTCGCGGTCTGCGCTGGCATGAAGTACACGACGGGATTCACTATTTTCTACAAGTTTGAGGTATTCACTTTCGTATCACGCATCTACCTATCGTATGATATTGCAAAATACCGTTTCGGGAGCTGACTCACTGGTATTCCCCGTTCGGGTCTCTCAAAAAGTCCAAACCTTCAATGCACCTAGGAAATGTCCATGCCATTATCATGGTTTGAAACCTACAGGTCCTGCCGGTTTCCCGAAACTATGTCCCGTAGACCTAATTACACGGTACACAAACATACCTTACCTGCCAATACGCCGGATCAGTCTAGAGGTAAGTATGTAGGTATCCCGTTGAGCCTGGAGCATACTTACCTACCTCACGATCTTTACTAAACGCCGTTATACGTACAGGTACCTTATATTTCACTCTTGAAACGAACATTACAGATGTATGGTAAAGGATGATATGAAGTGATGCATACTTACTAAGTGAAAGTCTTGTACTCAAAGATCTTTGAGATATTGGTTTTGGGACGGAGTATCAGTTGACAAGAAATCTCCTTGTGCAACTTTCCAGTGCGGGTTTTGCCCTCTTTTCTTCTCCTTTTGTGGGAGACTTTCCGCTCTCTGCGTACTTCTTGGTACACGTTACGTTGAGGAAGTGTGAAAAGGGGGAAAGTACGCAGTACCAAAGTAGGTGGTGATGGGGCCAGTCAGTTTGGTTGTTTTAATTTCCATTGTCGTGCATGCATGGAATGGTTTGATGTCGATGATGTCCATTCTTTCGATGATTGCGATGAATGTTTCCCTCTCGAGACTAAGATACCGCCAGCTTTTCTTTTCTTCTTTCTCTGTCTGCTGCTTGATCGCTCTCTTTGCGTGACGGGACTGATTTAATGTTGGTTTGCAATGATATATGTAGCCGGAAAGCAAAAAGAAACAGCTTCATTCCGCCAAGGACGTCATATACATGCATAGGTAGGTACCGAGAAGGGGACTTTTGCTTCTTGCCCACTTGGGAGAGAAATTGTTTCTTTGCTACACTCATATTTGCTGTACCTGATGTCCATCAGGCCTACCCTCTTGTGTTTATGTGTTTGCCTTTGTCCGAGTTGTTATGTAGCTCATTACTTCAGAATAGCGGCCTATTGATAGGCATGTCTCAAGGGAGGAGAATGGTAAGGTAATCAAACGATACCTGACTTTGTATTAAATAGTGACTAAGAAAAAAGGAAATATAAAGCAGGGCAACGGACTGCTACCTAGCTATAAAGAGGAAGAGCTCGCACACTCCGAATCCCGCTTTGCTTTGCTCCAACGCCGCCCCTCTCATCTTTTTTGTTGGTACTTATTCAGCTGCCTTTGCCCCGTGTTCGTTTTCTGCTAAGAGCTGGCTTTGCCTCGTTTCGCATTTCGCAAGCTTGTCATACGCTAACCCCAGCGTTCCTACCATATGATCACCCACACCCACAACATCTGCACAACGCCTACCAAGCATTTTGTAAAGTTTGGTCATCCACTCGAGATGATGCGAAATATTCTCAATGTTGGCCGCCTATCAAACCGTCAGTCCTCAAGATACTAGTGTGTTATCAATATCAGGTTTGTGCAACTATACCTTAACACCATCGTGCTGCGACATTACTAGGCGATTGAGCAGTATCTTGAGTTCATCCTCATAATCGCCAAAGATGACAATCCTCCTTACTGCTTCACCCATGCAAGTAAAATCATCAATCCAGGACTGGCCCTTCCTTTCAAGCATTGCAATAGTTTGTGGTGCGTCGTAGATGCTTGGGTCGCTGCGGCGGATATGGGATAGCCATTTTAAGCATGCATACAGGACACGAGGGGGCAGGCGTGCTTTGACCATTTCTCGATAGTGTCGAACTTCCTCGCGTAACTCCGTACCAATGTGATATTTTGTGTAATCTGCTTCCATCTGCTCTAAGTCAATTGCATCTGGTGGAATAGAATATTCGCCGTTGTTGTTGCAGTATCTCCAAACCCCTTTATACATTCCTTCGTATATGACACCGTCTTCTAGTAACAGGTTCATACACCCAGTCGTTAGTACCACGTTTGCGTTCCCTTTGTCGACCCAAAAGGGATTCTTGGTCCGATTTGTGGGATCAGTAAGAAAGTCTCAAAAGGATAAGTGAAGGATCTTGACCGGCGCGGTCGGTTTATCGAGCCCTGGGACGTCTAGGACGGAATGAAGGAAGTTGGGCATGTTCCTGATGTTTTTCCTCGGAATCTGCAGTAAACGAGAAAGCGAATTAATTGAGAGGGGATAGTCTAAGAGGACCAGCGAGCCAACAAGCTTGCGGAAGTTGTCCAATGTCTTCTCTTTCTCTTCTGCGTCGCATTTCACAAGTCCAAAGCCGGAATGCTTCAAAAGAAGGCGGTTAAGGACAAAAAGGTAGGTTCGGTGAAGCTGAGAAGCATAGTCCACCTTCTGAACCTCCATGACCCTTTGGAGCTGCTCCTCTGGGTCACTGTAGGCATAATCTGCAATAAACAGACAAACTTTCTTTGCAAAGATGAAGAGCGGGACGGCAAGCTTGACCAGGAGCTCAATCCTGTCTTGGCCGGGCCAGTCCGAGGGTAACTGGTCATCTGGTGACTGTAGCCTATTGTAGTCACCCCTGATCCTCCCTAGTTCGGAATCAAAGTAAACTTTCAAGTCATGTGTCATGATGTCTGCTTCCACATGATGCAATTCCAGCTCCTCGTATATCCCTTTGATTTTATCGAATTCCAGTAAGATGGGAAACTCCGGCCTACTCGTAACGAAGAACTTCAGTCGAACAGATGATAGTAGCTTTAGCCGGGAAGAACGGATGATGGTTGTTGCATCCGATTCCGGGTCGCACTCATCGAGAGCGTCAATGATGATTATAAAGGTCGTGAGTTTTGAACGGCCAATCGAGATGCCCTGCAAAGGCTGGAGTATAAGTTTCTCGAACTGTACTTCCATCGATTTCTCGCCAATATCACACTCTCTCTCGAGGACCGACTTCAAGGACTGGGCCAAAGAGGGCAATTTGTGGGAAGATTCTGGGCGTTTGCTGCCCAGACCGCTAGCCCTTTGCCCTGCAGGCACCCTCTTTGACAGCGGTCCTGGCACTTCCCAGAATCCCCTCGTTTGCAGACCTTCTTCCTCCTTGTATCGCCAGCTCTATATAGCTGGCGATCCCTTCCAGCCTCAGTTAGCTGGATCCCTCAATCGACATCATTCCCATCATTCGTCATCCATCTCATACAATTGCATGGCAAGCTGAGAAGCAATAGTAGGGAAGAACATGCTTGCCATTCCGCGGTCGCCATCACCTCTCTTGAAAAAGAAGCTAGCGCCAAACAATTCTTTCTTCTGCAGTTTGCAAGCGAATGTTTGGGGATAATGTTGACTTGCCAGTACCCGCCATGCCTTGGAGCCAAAAGATAGAGTCGCCCTCGGGACCCATACCCACCGCATCATGTCCTGCAAAAGGGCGGCTCTTGTCTCTGGATGACATTCCGGGTCAGAGTTCTGTCAAAGTGGTCGAATGCAGCATTTCTGACGATGCGCAGCTTTGAAAGTACCAAGTCCTGATGAATATCAAGAAGAAGAGATCTGGATATTGTTAACTTCGCCTTGCTAGTTTGCCCCATTGAATAACGTAACATACTTTTGGCCTCGCAACACCCCGAGAGTCTCATACGAGCTTTGAGCAATCTCATGGAGCAGCGCAACTTTACCCCTGCTCTCAAGGTTGCAGTACCTTTCGCATAGGTTGGCGGGATGATCCAGCTCCCTACCCCTATCCAAGACATTCTTGACATGGCCTTCCATACCTTCAAGCTTGAACACGGCTTTGAGATGCCTAGCTAAATCCCGTAGATGACACACGGCAAAGCTGAGAAGCATCAACAAGTTATAGTATGCCTCGGTGATGCAGTCCTTCAGCCCGCAGAGGGCATGCTCTGGAGGGCGAAGAGTTGGCTCGGGATCCATATACAAAGTCCGATACGATTCAAATTGTAGGACAAGTGAGGTTGTGGCTGCGATGCCGCCAAGTAGCTGGCTCTTGAGCTCTCTGTTTGAAACCAACGCCTTGGTCGGTCAATACAGACGTCCGATGCAGAAGGGACAAGGGGAAAAAAAACTTACAAGCACAAAACGGACGGCAGCCCAAGGAAAAGCAGCATGAACGGGATCAAAGCTGGCAGCAACATCTCCCACTGCTAGAAACTTGTTGATAACGGACACAGTCTGGTCAACGGATTCTCTGACAAAGCCTTGTGCTGCATGCTACTTTCGACTTCCCGCTCCAGATCTTGCTTGATCATTGTTGCTATGGTACTAACGGTGTCATTGGGCGAAAGAACATCTGCGGTTCTTAGCTCCCTTACGACTGCGACCAGTTTTGGATCTTCGTTGGAGTTCAGGATCTTGGAGATGGCATCTTCCACATTGGGCAGTCAGATACATCGGGGGGAGAGTCGTCTGATGCTGATGGTGTTGACTTCGAGGTATCGTTATTGCTCCGAGGCAAATTAACTATTTCCGTTCGTGTCTCCTCAAGAGAAAGGGACTCGGACTGTGAAGAAGAAGTCCCAACAGAAGATTTCGACCGATTGCTTTCACTTCGCCTGAACCACTTTGGAAACCAGAGACCTTGGCCGTTCAGGCAGGCGGAAGGAGCGCTTCTTGTCGCCTGAATCCAACCTGCTTTAACTGCACATCGTTGCTGATAGAGATTCGTGACCTGGAATAATCCAACCCCGTCCCAATCTCGACGCCAACCCACCTTTCGGACACTGGCATCGGAGACTTCCATTATTCCCCGTTCCCTTTTAGAAAGAGGTAAAAGCATGGAACGCACGAACACTGAGTTCCTCCTTTTGGTTGTCGATCCTTTTTCACCAGCTGAAGCTCACAACAAAGCGGTCTTGACTCCGCTCTGCGCATCTACGACGCATCTATCGCGTCATCTCATGCACACCCGTGCAAGCTAAGTCAACTGTTAATGGGCCGACAATGCAGCTGCAATCTGATTGCCCCTTAGTGTGCATCAAATCTTTTTCTCAATCTTACTCACGGCACTAGTAGTATTCGACGAAGTATCACCCTCCACTGTCGTCGTGACCTGTTGTTTACACCTTGCTAATCGAGGGATCTAGGTTTACCTTCTTCTCGACCACTGCGACTCCCGACTTGATTCCCCTGCCCGTCATCAGAATACCTGGTTTCTATTGACAGACGAGGTCAGAGATGACAAGGACGCCCATCTGATTATGACAATGTCCTTGTTCAGCCTCTTCAACCAAGGATCAAGGACCAGACCACAAGTTCACGCGAGCCAGCAAGCCAGCAAGCCACTTTTGTGACGAACAGCTCTGGCATCACCAGCTATGTATGCAGGTGCTGGGAAGAGGACAAATCGGATTTCTTTCTTCGACACGGATACTTGCATTGGCCTCTTCGTCTCACACCTGGAATTGGACCATGTTCACCAAGCTACTGCTGTGCGACCTGGACCAGCTGTCAGACCTGCTGCACACCAGACCCCAAACCACCACCCGTAAGTCCCGGACATTCCTCTTCCAGAAAGGGACTCATCACCAAACGGCGCCCAGAAAATGTTTGCTACCACCCTCTCGCAATTAACGGAGACACCAGCTTCCCGGTCTGTGGAAACGCCGTCAGCTCGAGCCTTCTCGGAAGATCCCCTGGAACTCCCAGCACACAACTTCACGCAAGTGACGTACAAATCAGAAGCGTAGTCACTTGAGGACACCCAAATCACTTTTGAAAGATTGGCTGCAACATGTTTGTTTGCTCATTTCAGGACATCCTGGCATCCACACCATGGTTCTCGGGCCCAGCGGCTTGTCCACGATCCTCCTAAGCGCCAACCGCAGCGGGCCGGCGGACAGGGCTGTCACCGGGTATGTATACAATGGTTCCGAGTGCTAGCCGTATATACCAATGCAGTTGGTAGACGCGGTGGCCAGACTTTGATCGCGTAAACAGGCAGTCGCAAGAGATACAGGGCAGCCTGGGCGACGTGATTATTCCTATACTGGTGTATATCAGGGTCGATGGGGCTGGAGTACGACTGACGGACCGTATCTTTGCTATGAGCGCTTACTCTTCCACTAATGGTGAAAATTCGCTCGTAATTCTGGTCATCGCTGGCAGGTCTTTACCTCAGATTGCGCAGAGAACCAACGACATGCATCAATCTCCACTGGACACTCGAATCTGAGAACGTATCTCGACATTTCGGGAAGCCGTTTCAACCCCCACGTACCGGACAAATGTTTGTCTTGTACAGCTGCAGGTGCTGACTACTGTTTTGTAAGACACGACTTGCTTCGCTTGCAGTAAATGATACTATGGCCGGCCGGGCTGTCTTCTTGCAACGCGCTATCAATGAACAAACGCCATTGTCGACAAGCCACACCAAGAGCTATGCCGTATTCTCGTGACAGCCAGCTTGACAACAACAAGGCAAAGATATGATCTATCACCCACGGGGCTGGACTTGCTCGATAAACCTTCCTTTCTTCTTTTCTTAATTCAACCACCAACATCACAGATCCTCGATGCCTGGCTGCTCATGACTTGGCATGAGCAACAATTGTTCTGTGACCAAGGAGAATGCGCGCACAAAGATGTTTGTCTCCACGTTCGATATACACTGCGCACGTTGTGCACAAGGCCATGATTACTTCAGTTTTGGTGGCTCGCCAGATTGTCCCAGGTCTGTAGGGAAGGTGTGCTGAATCTGAGTATAAAGGCCTGCCGTGGTGTTCACCTTTGAAACGTTTCGATCAGTTCTATCAGCACACATCATACTTTTACAAGCCAGTAGATTCTCTTAGGGTTCAAGATCTTACATTTACAACATTCTGCCATCAACCAACAACTTCGAGCTCGCAAGCAATCCAGCTTGACCTTGATCATCCCACAACCATCAATCCATACGATCACTTCCAACCCGCTAGAAATCCATACACCAAGTAAACCGAAAACCACTTCTTCTCCCGATACGCCGCCACCAGAACACTCCTCAAGAAACCCAAAACTAACCATTCTTCTAACCAGACAAGTCACTCGACCACCACGACCACGACCACCATCATTACAACCGCTCAACCCCACCCCTGAGACCGAAATGTGCGACTTCGACGAATTCGTCTTCACCTGCGGACACTCCACCTTTGGCCTCAAAGCCTACTGCCACCGCGCCCGAAACGACCCCTACAAGGAATGCCACTACGTTAAGAAGCTCCGGGACGTCTGGGACCAAACTTATCCCTGCAGTGAGTGTGTGAACCAGGCACAAACGGCGGCAGCGGTGCAGGGTATGCATATAGATCCTCAAGGCCAGGGACATGGCCAGCAAGGGCAGGGAGGGCAGGGGTATTAGGGGCAACCGGGGTATCAGGGGCAGTATCAGCAGCAGTATTAGGTTGGTATGGGCGGTTGTCGTTAGTGGTTATACGATAAATGGGGAATTATTGGAGGAAGAGCAAGGGGGTCATGGGAGGTGTTCCTGAGAAAGTTTATTCGTGTTAGATGTTATAATAAGATACCATTTTGGGATGTCACTGTAGGATTACTGGTGAAAGGAAGCTTATATACAAATAGGAACTGTGATATAAAGGTGTTCCAGTATCTGTGCTTACGCTTGGAGTGGGGCTGGGAAAATAGGTGCCTTTCCAGTAAAAAAATATGAATTAAAATAGGCTAAAAAAAGAGAAAAAAAGGAGAGAAAAGAAGGACAAGCCAGGCTCCAACTCCAACAGTCTCACTGTGCAAGACGCCTCCTTCTCTTTTACTGACAATATGCTCTTTTGAGCCTCACGCCACTACCATAGACTAGACTTTCTACAAACCTCCACTCACCAACACTCTCCGCCAACTACCTTATTTACCTACCCAACGAATCGAATCTTCAGAGTGGACGTCACGCCCGCCATACTTACGGTACCTACACTTATTACACAACTTTTTTCGCCTCTCGTCACCGGTCTCAATCATAAAAGAACCAACAAAGTTTTTGATGAATACAAATTGACGCCCGCCATTATATCATGCTAGCTCGATGCCACCATCGATGTGTAGATACCAGAAACGATATTTCCGGAAAAAGTCAACGCCAATATTTGTACATATGAGCCGCCTTTATGTCCCATGATTAAAGAGCAGAATTGAAGTGCTTGTTGGGACATGGCTCGACGCTTGCCATGATGTTGGGATAATGATATATTAGATGTGTAAAAAATTGGAGGTATCACTTTGCCTTGTTTTTGGACAGGTGTTACGATCCAATAAGGGATCACTTATATAAGCAATTAGATAAACCAATTAGAGCCGCGCCGGGCGCCGCAGCTACAGCCAAGGGAGCGCCAGGTGGCCGGGAATGGCCTTACCGGCGCAACGGCGCATACTAAAGGACCAATATATAAAAAAGGTCTCCTAGGCTTTTTAAA